AATTTTGTTACCTAGAAAGCTCTCCACATTCTCCCTGTGATGGTCTCCCACCTGAGGCAGCTTTGACCCCAAGGCCGGAGGGGAAGGTTCCCAGTCGTCTGGCACTCGGCAGTCGTGGAGGCTATAATGGACGGGGCTGGGGATCTCCAGGGAGGCCCAAAAAGAAGCACACAGGTGAGGTGCCCCGTGAGATGGTATGGAGGCAGGACATTTCTGCAGATTGGGGTCTGATTGCAGGAACTCCTGACACTGATTTTCTCTTGGGGGACTCAGGCATGGCCAGCATTGACAGCAGTGCCCCAGAGACAACATCGGATAGCTCCCCCACCTTAAGCCGGAGACCACTGCGAGGAGGCTGGGCCCCCACTTCTTGGGGTCGAGGACAAGACAGTGACAGCATTAGCAGCTCCTCATCGGACTCACTGGGTTCCTCATCCTCCAGTGGAAGTCGCCGAGCCAGTGCCAGTGGAGGGGCCCGAGCAAAGACAGTTGAAGTGGGCAGGTCAGTGGGAAGAACCACCCTGCTCCTCTGACCCGGCCCACCCTCAGAGCCCTGCCCTCGTGGTAGCCAGCCACTCTTCCCCAAGTCCTCACCTTGGTCTTTCCCTACCTACCTAGACACCTACTTGGAAAAAAAAATCACAAACCTGTCCCTACCCCTCTTCCCCTTCAGGTACAAGGGCCGGCGCCCCGAGAGTCATGCCCCGCACGTACCCAATCAGCCCTCAGAGGCAGCTGCACACTTCTATTTCGAGCTGGCGAAGACAGTGCTGATCAAGGCAGGGGGCAACAGCAGCACTTCCATTTTTACACATCCATCTTCCTCAGGGGGCCACCAGGGTCCTCATCGCAACCTGCACCTTTGCGCCTTCGAAATTGGGCTTTATGCCCTCGGCCTGCACAACTTTGTTTCTCCAAACTGGCTCTCACGTACCTATTCCTCCCACGTTTCCTGGATTACAGGTAAAACCAATGTCCTGATTTGGGTATGGGAGAGGGACTAACTGGAGAAAAGGGTCTTTGGTGGCATTATTGATCTGATAAGACATCATCCATATGCCCCACTGGTGCCCACACCAAGCTACTTCACTCTTCTCTCCTTTCCCCAAAGGGCAGGCAATGGAGATTGGCAGTGCAGCCCTGACTATATTGGTAGAATGCTGGGATGGGCACCTGACACCCCCTGAGGTCGCATCCCTGGCTGATAGAGCATCTCGGGCACGAGACTCCAATATGGTGAGGGCCGCAGCAGAGTTGGCCCTAAGCTGCCTGCCTCATGCTCATGCGTTGAACCCCAATGAAATCCAGCGGGCCTTGGTGCAGTGCAAAGAGCAGGTATTTGGGCAGGGAGGTTGGGCATGGGGAAACTCAAGGGCCCAGCTCTTCAATTTATTTTCAGACAAGGCCTCACGAAGTTGCCCAGTCTGTTCTTGAACTGGTGTGCCTTCTGCCTCAGCCTTCCAAATAGTTGGGACCTCAGACATGTTCCATTGCACCCAGTTTGAAAGCCCAGTGCTTTGATGGCCATGTCCAAGAGTTTACACAGTGTCTAATTGGTCCTCTCATGGTAACATTTTATGTATTACAGGTTGAGTAGCTTAATGCTTGAGACCAGAAATGTTTCAGATTCAGATTTTGGAATATTTGGCTACACATAGTGAGGTATTTGGGGGATGGGACCTAAGTCTTAACATGAAATTTATATTTCATATACAACATACATGTAGCCTGAAGCTAATCTTAAAATTATTCTGTGTGGTATTAGGGATTGTACCCAGTGCCTTGTGCATGTTAGACGAGCGACTCACCTACATTCCCCAGCCCTAAACAATATTTACAATAATTGTATACATGAAACGAGTTTTATGGTGTTTTCTATGTGAGGTGTCATGTTAGTGCTCAAAAAGCTTTTTATTTTGGTCAGGTGTGGTGGTCTACGCTTACCATCCCAGCACTTAAGAGTCTCAGGCAGGAAGATTGCAAGTGCATGGGCTACATAGCAAGACACTAGAAAATAAAAACAAAACAGAACTGAAAGTGTCTTAAAATAGGAGTTTAGAGCATTTGGGGGTTTGGGGATTAGGAATGTTCAACCTGTAATATACCTTCACAATCGTCACATCCTTAACTTCATAATCCTAAAATTGGATTATTCCTATTTTATAGATAAGGAAGTAGAGGTGTGTGGTTTAGGAACCAAGATGAAACTTTCAGAAGGGCTGAGAGAGGTCATGAGAGGGGTGGGTTAGGAATTAGGAACTTGACCCAGGGTCTTGCATTGGTAAGTATTTGTTCAGTGTCTGCAAAGGACTCACTGCTCTGATACTGTGCCCTCTGATACCACCCCATCAATCAGCCAACCCTGAGGGAGATGTCATGTAACACAGGAACATTCCTGGGCTAAGCCCTTCCCCCTTTAACACTCTGTGCTCCTCCCTTCCAGGACAACTTGATGTTGGAGAAGGCCTGCATGGCAGTGGAAGAGGCTGCTAAGGGTGGGGGCGTGTACCCTGAAGTGTTGTTTGAGGTTGCTCACCAGTGGTTCTGGCTGTATGAGCAAACAGCAGGTGGCTCATGCACAGCTCGTGAGGGGGCTACCAGCTGTAGTGTCAGCGGGATCAGGGCAGCTGGGGAGGCTGGACGGGGACTGCCTGAGGGAAGGGGGGGCCCAGGGACTGAGGCTGTTACAGTGGCAGCAGCGGCAGCAGTGACGGCAGCAGCTACAGTGGTTCCAGTTATTTCAGTGGGGTCCAGTTTATATCCAGGTCCAGGACTGGGGCACGGTCACTCCCCTGGCCTGCACCCCTACACTGCTCTACAGCCCCACCTGCCCTGCAGCCCCCAGTACCTCACTCATCCAGCTCACCCTGCCCACCCCATGCCTCATATGCCCCGGCCTGCTGTCTTCCCGGTGCCTGGCTCTGCATACCCACAGGTGAGAGCAATATTCTGGGAGTGGGGCATATGGGAGGCGGCTAGGAGTTCGTGGGGGTTGGAATGGGGGCACTCTAGGCGTACATGGAAATCCAAAGGTCCTGGGGAGGTGTTGGGAGCCCAGGGGCAGCAGCAAGGCAGGGTCCATTTGTGGGATGAAGGGGGAGGCCTCACATGACTTGCTTCCTTCTTCCCCGCCTCTAGGGTGTGCATCCTGCATTCCTGGGGGCTCAGTACCCTTACTCCGTGACTCCTCCCTCCCTCGCTGCCACTGCTGTGTCTTTCCCTGTCCCTTCCATGGCACCCATCACAGTCCATCCCTACCACACAGAGCCAGGGCTCCCACTGCCCACCAGTGTGGCCTGTGAGTTGTGGGGGCAGGGAACAGGTGAATGGAGGGGAGGTCCACTTGACAGGGGAGGTAGGGAGGGAACCTCTCACACCCTCTTTGGACTAAGAGCTCACATAGCTTTTGTCGCACCCTCAGTGAGCAGTGTCCACCCAGCATCCACATTTCCAGCCATCCAGGGGGCATCACTGCCTGCTCTGACTACACAGCCCAGCCCTCTAGTGAGCGGGGGCTTCCCACCACCCGAGGAGGAGACGCACAGTCAACCTGTCAATCCACACAGTCTGCACCACCTGCACGCTGCCTACCGAGTTGGTGAGCAGAGACCCCTTCTGTACTCCCACCCCCAACCGAAGGCCAAAGGCTCTTCAGTGGACCCCTTCTAATAGTTCCGAGTCATGCAAGGATAAGGATGTACCCCATCGTGTACCCATCCTTGTCTCCCAGGAATGCTGGCACTGGAGATGCTGGGTCGCCGGGCACACAATGATCACCCCAACAACTTCTCCCGCTCCCCCCCCTACACTGATGATGTCAAATGGTTGCTGGGGCTGGCAGCAAAGCTGGGTAACACCTCCTCTCCTCAGGACCATTGTCCCCCCCCATCCACTCCCCCTACCTTCCTATCCCAGACCTCCTTCCTAGCTCTTGCTCAGAGTTGAGGCCTTGGTCGGGTATGTGTGCGTGCGCGAGGGCGGGGGGTTACCTCGGCTCCTGGGGGGGTGGAGGGAGGCTCTCTGCCAGGCCAGAGGTGAGAGCTATAAAAGTTGGGTCCCTAGGGCAGAGGTGGCCACCCCCGTCTCATGCCCCTCCCCCCTGCCCCCCAGGAGTGAACTACGTGCACCAGTTCTGTGTGGGGGCAGCCAAGGGGGTGCTGAGCCCGTTTGTGCTGCAGGAGATCGTCATGGAGACGCTGCAGCGGCTGAACCCCGCTCATGCCCACAACCACCTGCGTGCCCCCGCCTTCCACCAACTGGTGCAGCGCTGCCAACAGGCATACATGCAGGTTGGACAACCCAGGAATTGTGGAGCTGGGTGGGACACCTAGCAGTTGTAGGTGAGGGGGGATGGGCTCACTTCTGTGCTTGCACCAAGGCTGACACGCCATGTCCTCCTCCAGTACATCCACCACCGCTTAATTCACCTAACCCCCGCCGACTACGACGACTTCGTGAATGCCATCCGCAGTGCTCGCAGCGCCTTCTGCCTGACACCCATGGGCATGATGCAGTTCAACGACATCCTGCAGAACCTCAAGCGCAGCAAACAGACCAAGGAGTTGTGGCAGCGGGTCTCTCTCGAGATGACCGCCTTTTCCCCCTAAGTCTGGCCCCCTTAGGGTTCTGCATAGGGACACAGGCCTTTGGCTCTAGGGGTCTCTTAAACAGAGGGAGTGAGATTTGGCTGGACGGATCATCATGCCTGCTCAGTTCCCTGGTAGCCCAAACAGGCAGCTGCTCTTGGACGATAGTTTGGGGCCAAGATATCTCAGACCCGAGAAGCCTTGGGCTAGGGGAGACAGCCCTATCTGGGAAGGGGCGTTGGGTGACTTCTGGTATTTATTTGGCATTTATAAATATATAAACTCCTTTTGTACTCTAGTCCTCTGGGCCTTTTCCCTCTTTGTGCAGTTGAACCTTGAAACCCCAGGGAGAAGGGGAAGACATCTGATACCTGCTTTACTCTAGGCTTTTCTCCAGTGAGGCAGACAAAACAGAAAAATAAGGATGTTTATTAAGGACATTTCTGGCCCAAAGCTAGGGCTCATACTCAGCTCGGTGAGCCACTGTCCGACCTCATCCCCATTCAATGTGAATGACACTAGGGAGGCCGGGCCACAGGTAGATCCCACTGCCCAAGTAAAGGGGCAACAGCAAGGGGTCCCTCCCATAGCCAGGTCCAGACAGATACACTGCTGGGGATAAAGAGGAAAAACCACTGGACTAATACATTCTATACTCTTCCTGGGAACCTCTTACTCCTCCCCACCTCTCAAGTTCATTGGTCAAAGGTACCCAGTACCATGATATGGAGTACCAAGGGAAGCCCCTTTAGTATGCCCCAGAGCTATGGGAAAGGCATGCCCTTCCCTTCTCAGCCATCCCAGCCATGGGGGCCACTGAGGTAGAAGGGGGCGGGGGCAGGCCACACTAACCCCCCCTTGTGGGCCCTGCTCTGGGCTTGCCCCAGAGGGAAGTAGGGGGCTTTTTGCTGGTATAGGAGGGCTGGGACATCAGCCCACACTGGAATGCTGTAGTTCTTCCCGTAGCCATGAAGGGACTGGCTGTCCAAGCCGGCTCAGCAGCTTCGACAACTCCAGGTTATGGTTCCGGAAAAAATTCATAAGAAAAAGGCGGGACTGACAGGAGAAACACGGAGGCAGAAACAAACAGTAAGGAGAGGGACAGACTCACACCCAAGAGGTAGAACAGGTACCATGCCCAGGGCTTTCACTCACCTGTGTGTCCATGTCTGGGTACTTCCGGCCTTTGCTTTTACCAAGACAGCGAGTCTTACCACCTTCAAGTCCCTGGCACCAAAAGCCTTTATCTTCATCAAACCTGTTCAACAGGAACAGGCTGTGGGTGGCAGAGAAGAGCCCCGTAAATGCGCACTACCCCTTCTCAGTCATAGGGATACATGTCTCGCCATGCGAGACAATCCAGGTCTGGTCCACACAGATTAACAACCTACTTCCCCATTTCCCCCAGACCTTCCTCCCCTGGGTCATGCTCTCCCACCTGAGGGTCCGTGTGTAGTTCAGAAAGGGTGTGATACCCAGGAACTTCTGGATGCTCTCCATTGAGGCTGCTGGATTGGTACGCAGCTCCTGCCCATCCACAATCAGCAACTAAAGGGACAGGGATGTGGTTCCCTCTATATTCCTAAGCCTCTGGGCTGAAGGGAATGGGAACCCCAATGGGGGCTCTTGGAGGGTTGTACCTGTCCAGAGGGGTAGTAAGTCAGCCAACGTTGCAGGTGGGTAGAATAGTAGCCAGGGACAAGACAGCGGTTCTGCAGGGAACGAAGTACCAGAGGGGCCTGGGTAGAAGCTGAAATCACCTGGTAGAAGGTATAGTTCAGAGCAACTGGGTCTCCATGTGCTCGCTGGTGCTAGAGGACAAAGAACAGGAAGGGCAAGGACTGGTGACTGGACAGAATGATTTTGCCCTTATTCCTTGCCTGGTGACAGTACAGGCACCACTCCCTAAAGCACTAGTTTCATTTTCCTACCCTCCTTTCTGTCTCTTAGCAGTCACTACCTCCCTCTCAGGCCCAATGTATCCCTAGCCTCGGGCAGACCTGGTACCAGGAGTAGGCCCTGTCAGCAGGGTTGGTGAGCACAGTGATGATCTTGGCTCTCGGCAGGAGAGCAGCTCCCCGCCGTGGTACAACCTCTGAGTCAAAGTAGGTGGCACTTTTTTCAAACAGGAAATCAGTGCTGGCATTGGAAGGAACAGGGAAGAAATCCATGTACCTAGCAAGTAACATAGGAAAAAGGCAGAGGTTTTCAGAGTGAAGAAGCCTGATGTCTGCTAACTGAAGCTAAGTGGGGTTATTTTTGGAGAAGGAAATACTCTGAGAAACATTAAAAAAAAAAAAATGGTCCCAATCTCACCAGTCAATACCCTTGTGGTAATTGGGGCCACTGAAGAACTGAATCTCCTCAAAGGTGCTGGGGCTAGGAAAGCTGCTAGTAACTGCTGGGTGCAGGCTCAGGAAGAAGTGAACTGCTGTAGTGCCTAAATAGGAAAGACCAGACCTTTGTAGGAAAGAAGCCACTGAACAGCATGAGTTTGAAGAAAGTAAGAAATCATCACTTTGTATAGTAATAATCCCTTATGGCCAAGCTACAGTGAGAGAAGGAAACAGAGAGGCCAAGTAAAGGGTTAAAACAACGGCTCTCAGCCTTGACTGTGTATCAAAACCCTTTGATCTTTAAAAAGTCCACATAGAGTGCTAGCCTTGAGCTGAAGAGCTGCGGACAGTGCCCAGGCCCAGAGTTCAGGCCCCACAACTGACAAAAATAAATAAATAAATGAAATTAAAAAAAAAAAAAAACAAAACTCCATGGATGAGGGCTGGAAACCCATGGAGCTCAGTGGTGTAGCACTTGCCTATGCAAAGCCATGAGTTTGGTCACCAGTACAGTAAAAACAGAGCAAAAAAAATAACATAAACCCCCAAATTCTGATAAACAACTAGATTTGAGAATCTCTATCTCGAGATTAGATTTACATTGAGTGAGTAAGAGAAGGGAGTTTTTGTTTGTTTTGGTGCCTCTACTGGGGCTTGAACTCAGGGCCTGAGTGCTGTCCCTAAACTTTTGCTCAAGGCTAGTGTTGTACCATTAGAGCTACAGCTCCATTTCTGTATGGAGATAAGAGTCTCAAGAAAGTGGGGTGCTGGTAGCTCACGCCTGTAATCCTAGCTACTCAGGAGGCTGCGATCTGAGGATTGTGGTTCAAAGCCAGTCCGGGCAGGAAAGTCTGTGAGGCTCTTATCTCCAATAAACAACTAGAAAACCAGAAGTGGTGCTGTGGTTCAAGTGGTAGAGCGCTCACCTTGAGCTGAAGAGTGCAGGTACAGTGCCCAAGCCCAGAGTTCAAGCCCCATGACCGACCAAAAAAAAAAGAGTCTCAAGGACTTTCCTGCCCAGATTGGTTTCATACTGCAATCCTCAGATCTCAGCCTCCTGAGTAGCTGGCTAGCATTCTAGGCATGAGCCACTGGGACCTGTGGGAGCTCTTTGGCAAAAGGAGTTTGGGTTTATAAAGGCAGAGCAAGTAAGGTGTTAAAGGATAATTTACCTGTCTTCTGGGGTCCCACAATGAGGAACTTGGGGAGTCGATCACAGGTTTTCTCCTTGGACCAGATATCTTTGTGCCTCTTATCATCACAGGGATTCTGAAGGTGAGGCCAAGAATCTGATAAGGAAGGCCTCTCTTACACTCCACCCCCATCAGGCCTCTCTTCAGCCTGAGCTCCACTTTTACCTGCCAAAGGGGGCTTCGCTCCTGAGGGAAAAGTTCAAAGTACTTTCGTGCAAGAGGGATGGGAGGAAGGGTCTGTAGGCGCAGCCGTGTCCAGCACTGGAGGAAGCGTACCAGGCTCTCAAAGGTGTACAGACCCAACCGGTCATTTCCATAATTGGACAAATGGGTCATAAAGATGCTGATCTGTAATAAGGCATCTTCATGTCAGATTTGGAGAGGCTACTCTACCTCACCATCAACCCCCAGCCCCTGGCCTGCAAATACTTCAGCTTGCCAATTTTCCAGCCCTTCCTCTCTGCACCTTACCGGATTAAGCAGCACTGTCAGAAAGAGCTCTCCACCTCGGATGCTCCGGTCTAACTCACGGGAGCCTCCAGGATACTCATTATAGAAGATTGTATGAGTAAAGAGACCACATGTTTGCCGGGGGAGAACCTGGAGGAAAAACAAGCAACAGAGACAGTTGAGATGAGATTTGTACAGTACAATGTGAAGCAGCGAGATTCTCTGGGTTTCTAGAAGGCCCAGTCTATGGTTATAATAATAAAAGGGCTTTCCTGATTTTTTTTTTTTTTGCCAGTCTTGGCACTTGAACTCAGGGCCTGGGCACTGTCCATGACCTTCTTTTCTTTTGCTCAAGGCTAGCACTCTACCACCTGAGCTATAGCACCACTTTCAGCCTTTTCTGTTTCTGTGGTACTGAGGAATTGAACTCAGGGCTTCATGCATGCTAGGCAAGCACTCTACCACTAAACCACATTCCCAACCCATGGGCTTTCAGATTTTTACCCCTTACTATGAGCATGAACTTGGACAAGTCACAAGTCAAAGCAGCTGGAGACTAATCGGGGGGGGTTGTAGTGGGAGTCCCTCACCATGATGCCACTGTGAATGAAGCCACGGCGGTAGCGGGCGGGGCGGAGATGGGGGTACTCCTCAGTGCTGGTCACTTGGATGCCCCACACAGATTTCCAAGCCTCATAGAGCTGCGTGTGGATGGGGTACACGCCCGAGTGGTGGGGGGCCACAGCATAACCCAGATCCGTGGGAATCCCATGCTCCTGGGAATGGCATAGACTCTCACCAGGACCTGGTGAGGTTTGGGGAGTATAGGATAGAGAGGGCGGGGATGCCTCCACAGAAAGAAAATTCGAAACGGTAGGGGAAATTTGAAAGGAGGAATTCATTCTGGGAGAAACTGTAGAGAAGAGATCCAAGGGTCTCACCAAAGCAAACTGTTTGTTGAGCCTCATCTGGTCGGCCAGCACAGAGCGATTGTGGAACAGGTGTGGCTGCATGTGGCTCCACATGTGGGGGAACCACCAGAACTCTTTGCGGTGCTTCAGCAGCATGTCGTCCCCCGCATCCTCCTCCTCTGTCCCTGTGACCACATACTGACCACTGACCACAGCCAGTCAGCCCTCTGTCCTTTGTGCTATTACAACACACCACCTTCCCTCCTTGGAATGCTACTGACTCCTCCAACCCCAGGTTTTCTATTTGCCCTACTGCCAACTTGTTTTTCCCATCACTAAGGCAAAATGCAAGCCCACCATCAGCTCCCAACTATGCCCCTTTTCTTCAACCAGTCTTCCCAGAGAGATAAGCAATGAAGGTACACATCAAACCAATAATGCTATGCTGAATGTACAGGAGAATAAACTCACCAGTATGGTAGAACTTGCCCGAGAAACCCAGGTTGAAGGTGAAGTTAGGGACTAAGGTCCTGAGTTTGTTCTGGGTGGTCAACAGAGCCTGAGAAGAGTAGCAGAGACATGAGAAATCAGGAGGAAACAGACTGAGTCGAAGATACATGAAAAATAAATTTCTTCCTGCCTACAAAGGGCAGGAGTATGCCTTTCCATAAGCTCAGAATCATGGCAAGAGCTGGACAGACCAAAGCTCGAACAACTTATAAGGACAGATATTTAAGTAATTTTACAGAAAGAAATGCAAAGAGAAAAATAAAGACTGACCTCAACATCATCCACTTTCATGCGAGTACCTTCTTTGCCCACGAAGATGTCGTCGATGTCTACCAGGATGTAGCGGTCAAGGTCCAGGCAGAGGCGCTTGCCAGTGAGGTATGCAACAGCATCAACAAAAACCAGTTTGTGAAGCCAGAAAGAAAGTCCATGGCCAAAGAGTACCCGCTGGATGCCATCGTGAAGCCCCAGGTCCTGTACCACAGTAGGAAGGTGGGCTCGACGAGGCACAGGTCCTGGCACAGGAGGCTCAGCTGGCCGAAGGTTGGCAAGAAGCACGGGTTCATAAGTACTGTGATTGGACTGGAAAATGGTCCAGTCATCACCAGGCAGTGGCCCAGGCTCCAGGCGGCTGGGGCGGGTGAGATGCAGGAGGGGGGCAGAAGGATTCACTTGGTAGTCCCGGAGCCCCAAGTTTGAGTGTAGAAAAATGGGAAAGCCCTTGAGCTGGGCACTCAGTAAACTATGCTCATGGGCTCGGAAAAAGCCAATGATGCCCACGCCATATTCCACACAGTAGCGGTCTAGCAGTTCCCGACTCCACGCATCCAAGTTGACATACTTAAGCAGGTTCTCATATATGACTAAGACATAGCGGCCACGGGTATGATCAGTCAATGTGGGCATGTCCCCTCGGCCAGGTGCCAGCTCAGTGCTGTAACGAAAACGACTTGACTCCAAGATGGCCACAATCTCCTGCCCTAGCTGTGAGTATGCACTCTCCACAAACACAAGGACCACAGGTTCAGTTCGAGTTGTTTCTGGAGGCCGGGGAGGCCGAGGAGGGACTGGAGGTCTTGCAGGACCAGGGCCAGCTGCCCCACTGCTGCTGCAGTCTCCCAAGGGCAGGGGTAGGGGTTCCTTGGCCTTGGGGCTAGTGGACACATAGTAAGCCAGGAAGCCCATGGAGCCAAGGCTGAAAGCAATCAGCAGCAGTATGAGGCGGTGCAGTTCCAGCTGCCGAGCTGGGCGTACCACCTTCCACAGCTGGAGCATGGCGAGGGAAATAAAGGAGGAATAAGGGACCACCTCTGGGGATGGGAGGTGGGAGTCGCTAGGATAGAGTTTTCTTGGGTGAGTAGAAGGATAGGAAAATAGGGGAAAGGGATTCACTCAGGGTCAATTTCCTGAAGAGATGGGAACCAAGTCCATTTATTCTAGAGTAGAAAAGGAAGAAGCAGCAGTCTCAAGTCACCATGGCCTCCTGGACCATGGCTTCACGCTGCAAATCTAGCTTCCTTGGCTCTGATAAAGCTTCTCACATCACAAATCAGCAAAGTGCACAAGCTTGGCCTCCACAATCTGTAAGACATAGAAAGGGATGGATTACTTCTGCCCCTGAAAGTCTATCATTAATCCATTCTCCTCCTCAGCCCATCTCTCTTACTTCCCGCTCCCTTGATGATTTGTTCTCAAAGCAAAGGAGGGGGATTATCTCCTATAGAAGAACACATACCTTAGCTGTCATGGAACCCACATGTGAATGTTCAAATTTTCTTAAGCTCAAGCTGGAAAAGCAAACTCAAGTGCTGGAAGAGGCCCTCTGCAGAGGTCAGACCGCCAGGGAGACTGAAAACAGGCTTTCACTGCAAGTTCCTATCCCACAACCAATTAGTTGTCCAGCCTGCAAGAACTCTGGTCTTTTGGTAAGAAATGGATAGAAAACCCCAGAAGTCTCGTGGCCCAATGCAACATCAGATCAGAGGAAACTCGTGAGTCTGTTTATCTTCCACATCAACCTAATTCAACGATATATCTAACAGACTAACGAACTTGCAGTCATGTGGACATTATGGTAGGGGTACTCAAAAGGAAAGAGATGGGCTAATTATTATTCTATTAGCAGCTTAACCCAGAATTTGCAGACTCTCTTTTCTACTGTTTGTGAAAAATTACCTCTTACCCTTCACTTTTTCCATAGCTCCAGAACAGGTTATGTCACTAATACATGTGCAAAGCCAAAAGCAGGGTCCAGAGCGTATTTCTTCCTATCCATTCTAGTTATCTTTCCTAACTTAGTCAAAGTGGAATGGCATCTCTAATCCTAAAGAGCTCAGCTTACAAAAATATGAGAGGTTCAGTCCAGTTACAAAAACAGAGCAAACCAGTAGCAGATGACAGAGAGCAATATGAGCGTAAGTCATAGCTAGCCAATTAGAAAGTATAAAGGCATAGTGATCAGAAAACAGTTTTAAGAGCCGGGCGCTGGTGGCTCATGCCTGTAATCCTAGCTACTCAGGAGGCTGAGATCTGAGGATCGCGGTTCAAAGCCAGCCCGGGCAGGAGAGACCGTGAGACTCCTATCTCCAATAAACCACCAGAAAACCGGAAGTGGCGCTGTAAGCATGCAAGGCAAGCGCTCTACCACTGAGCCACCTTCCCAGCCCGCTACTCTTTTTAATCAGGCAGTGGGCTGGAGGTTTACATGCATGAGCTGGATATTTCCATTATAAGAAGGCAAGAAACTCAAAGAGACTAAATAATATCTCCAACTCATTTATTTAAATTCGGAACCATGTGGCTCTAATAAATGTCTGTGGTCTTTCTACCTTTGTTAGTCTGATGTTTCAATTTCATAAAGGTGATTTGTTCTTGACTAGGGCTGTATACAGCACAAAATGAAGGACTCAAAACGGATCTGTGACTTAAAAAAAAAGCACCAGAGTCAAAATAAAATCACCAAAGTAGGCAGCTCAGGAAATCCTCAGAGGTCCTAGGGTCCTCTGGGAGAAAAACAAAGGAAGTTTCTGGCTAATAGCACTATATGGATAGCTGGGGGTTTACATGGGTATCTCAGGGTAAGAGTGAGAGTCAGGGGGAGAAAACAACCACAAAATAAGCTCAAGGCAGAATGGGAAAGGCCCAGGATAAAGGGGGCGAGAGGAGGAAAATGGAGGACTGGAGAGGACAATTCAAATCTTATCCCCTGGGACTTGTGAGCTATCCAAAATACATTCCCTGCTCTCCCCGCAAGCTCCCTGCCTCCTTCAATATTCATGAGGAATCCTAACCCCAATTTCTGATCCCACACTCACTATCAGTGCCATTGCTTGCACATTCTCAACCTGGTTTTAATTTCCTTTACTGTGAAACCTGGAGACAGAGCGTCATGATTATTTGGTTCAAATGGTCTCAACCTAATTGTGAAGGGTGTGCAATCTTGGAAGTCTTGGAAGGAGGTGAGGCCGAAAGACATACAGTCACCCAGGCTGTAATGACAGACACTGCTCTTAGGCAGGGAACAAGAATAGGGCCTTTGAAGGTGGAAGTTTATGACCATTAGGGCACAAGGCTAGTGGGGCACAAAGAGGCAAGCAGACACAGCGGGATATAGCAGGAAGGTCAAGTAAAGGAAAAATGAGCAACTGGGGTGAGGAGGAGGTGAGGAGGAGACAAAGGCCAAGGGTGAAGGGGCAGGCAGGAGTATATCAGCAGCACGAACCCACTCACGATTCTCAAAGTAAAACTTATGGAAATCCATTCCCTCCACCAGGTTACCGAGGGCCTCAGGCTCAAAGGAAGTGAGGCCTGGGTCACAGATCTTCCTGCAGGAAAATATAAATAAATACAATCAAACCAGGCACCAGTGGTTCATGCCTATAATCCTAGCTACTCAAGAGGCTGAGATCTAAGAGTGCGGTTTGAAGCCAGCCCAGGCAGGAAAGTGCAATTCTTTTTTTTTTTTTGTCGGTCATGGGGCTTGAACTCTGGGCCTGGACGCTGTCCCTCAGCTCTTCAGCTCAAGGCGAGCGCTCTACCACTTGAGCGTCAGCCCCACTTCCAGCTTTTTCTGCTTATGTGGTACTAAGGAATCAAACCCAGGGCCTCATGCATGCAAGGCAAGCACTCTACCACTGAGACACCTTCCCAGCCCCAATAGTTAATATTTGTTGAGAGCTAACTATCTGTCAGGCATTCTTCCAAGAGCTATACATATACATGGTTGCTGATGGAGATATACAATGGTGTGAAAATCATAAGCATTCAGTATAAACCATACTTCAAATGAACCCTACTACATTTTGTTTTTTTGGTGCTGGATTTTACATCCAGGACCTTGTGAATGCTAGGTACATGTTCTACCCCGGATTTGCTTCCCCAGCATCTTGATTTTTGAGTCCCCCCCCCCCCCCGGGCTGGTGGATATGCAGTATGATACTCTCTTATGATGCTGAGCAGTGGCATCTCTCAGTCAGCTGAATCATCAGGAGGTTGAGCAACTGACACTACAGTATACTGAGTAGCAGCTAAAAACTATCACACTCAGTAGGTAAGGTATATTCTTGACTTAGCATGTCCAGCTTAGGATAAATTTATCACTTCTCTCTCCATAAGTCAAGAAGCATCTGAATTTAATCTCTACACCAGCCCTAAGAAGTAGGAAATGGACAGTACTATTATTATTTCCATTTTACCCAAAAGTAACTTGAAGCTGAGAGGCTTAGTAACTTGCCCGGGATCACACAGCTCAGTCAGTGGAGGAACTGGGGTTCAAAATCAGGCCTGTCAAGCTCCAGATCCCCCATGCTGTTAACCACTACATTTCAGCTTCATACCTAAAAGAAACAGCGATTTAGCCAAGGGGCGAGAAGGGAGCCATTGGGATGGGGCGTGGGGTAGGAGGGTGGCTGTGAGGGGAGGAAAGTGTGTGTGTGTGTGTGTGTGTGTGTGTGTGTGTCTGCGTGCAGCAGTGGAAGGTTTTTGAGACGGGAGAAACCACGGGGCCGGCTGCCGAGCTGCAAGCAATAGCACCCGGGGCGCAGAAGGGTCCGCACTCGGACACCAGCAGAGCCGAGTTGGAGCCGGTTCACCAGGGGAGCGAACTTGGTGAGGAAACACGAGGTCAGGGTGGAGATAAAAGAGCCCGGACGGGGGGCACTCCAGGGGTAGGGGTAAGGGGCAGAGGCGCCTGGGGTGACCGGGAAGCAGGCACCGCGCTGAGCGGGCGGGCTGGCGGGGCGAGGCGGGCGTGAGGGCGGTGGTGGAAGGGACGCGCGGGCGAGGGGCCGCCCGGGGCGACTCCGCAATGGTCACACTCAGCGGCGAGTCTGTGAGCGGAGGAACTGGGGGGGCCCCCACTGTGTGTGGGGCTTGCTGTCCTCAAGGGAGGCTCACCCGGCGGAGTGGGCGGCGTCCCTGCTGTCCCCGGGCTCCGCCGCGTCCCGGGGCTGCCCAGCTTCCCTGCTCTCGGGGCCTCGGGCCGCGCCGCGGCCGCTCCGCCATCTCCGAGCGAACGCTCTGCCGCAGCCGGACCCTACCACCGCTCCTGCCGAGGGGGGGACAGCGCGCTGCCGCTCGTGGTCCCCGCAGGCTCCGAGCGTGACGGCCGCGCGACCGACGTGCGGGGGAAACCACACAACCTTTCGCAGCCGCTCGGCCGAGCCACGGCCTCCAAGTTGTTTTTGCCTCCGTCCGCAATGCCCCCCACAACTGGTCGCCCGATGGCACAGTCTGGAGAGCGTCAGGCGCCACGGCCCACGAGCAGGGGCGGGTCGAGGGCTGGCCCACTTAGCCTAGCGGAGGGGGAACCGGGCCGGCCCACTAAAGGCGGGGGGTGAGGGCGTGGCTAGCCTGATATGTGGGTGGGCCTGGGGGTGTATGTGTGTGGTGAGAACCTCAGTCCACCAATTAAGAGCCCGGTCTTCTCCACGCCAGGCACGCCTCCGCAGCTGTGGACAAGTCGAAACTGAAGACTTTTGAGAAGTTTTTTTCCCCTAAGGATCCAAAGGGAATGGGAGAAGATACATCTCTTCATTGGAAAGTTTGTAACACAAGCTGCTCAAATCCTGGTCATAAGCCTCCAACAGCAGTTAACACAATGGACTGTTTAAAGGTTATTTTATTAAATATCTTCAAGGTTTCATTGTAACAAAGCTATGAAGGGTCTACCAACATTCAGAACAAACACTATTTTTAAATTATCTCTATGTCATCATGCAAAAATTCTGCACCAAATGCCTTCCATTTCCTGTTTAAAAGGTGACTTTTTTTTTTAATAGTCTATCATCTATAGATGCTGACATTAACCCCAGAATAATAAGAATGCTAAGAAGTGAGGCTGGAACAGCCATAGGAAGCTATGGGTCTCGAACTCTAAGACCATTTTCTTCAAGCCAGCAAAACCAAACCCTGTGATGAAGGTATCTGCAAGCTGGCACTGCAGGCTGCAGGGCAGGAAGGGGCCAGGGCCCAGGGGCCTGGAGCATGCATGAGGTGCTCGAGGAGGCTGGCTAAATCCAAGCACCAGCACATAGCTTTTTGCCTCTTCTCCCAATTCCTGAGACTCTTGAAGGTAGTCTAGGGAACTGGAGTCTACCCACCTTTTCCCCCAAAGTGAAGATATTTGTGCAGATAAATATGCACAGTTATTTTTGGGGAAACCAAGGCCATAACCAATTGCTCCTTCATTATCTTCTCTGTTATCTGCTTAGGGTATAGATCTTTTTCTCCAGGTGCTGAACTCCTTGAGCACAGAGAGGGCCAATGAATGTAGGAGCCTTGGCTCTGAACAACCTTTTTTGGGTTCATGCAGTGAGGGGGAAGGGTGTTGCCCATGCAGATTGTCCAGCAGTAAGTCTATACTTCAGTTGGTCAGTAAAAAGGCCTCCTCAAAGAGGACACTTCTCATCAGAGCAGTCAGTTCAATCTCAAAGACAGGGAACGAGATGGACGTGCAGCAAGGGAAGAGTAAGAAGGAAGGCAGCCCTGAGGGCAGCCCAAATGCATAGAAACAACCACCATCTCTTATCCCACTGCCTCACTCCTCCCATCCCACAGGGGCACTTGGCAGAGGGCCCAGGCCCAGATGAGGGTCAGCATGGGGACCACCACCATGAAAAGACAAGACAAAGATGGTCCAGATCAGCACAGGAACAGAACTGCCAAAGGCATGAAGAGGAGCCCTGACTCAGGGCCTGGCTCTCTCCTTGCTAAGTTAATAAGAAACAAACACGAAGCAAAGCAGCAACTCCTCTCCCTTTCCATCTGCAGGGGTCAGGCCTCAATATCAGGGCCCATGTTCACTGTGCATCCTATAGAAATGGATGAGTAAGTGAGTACATGTCAGACTAACACGAGGTTCCTCATAGGCTTTGCAGCAAACACATTTCTGCAGCACCAATTCACTTCCCTTCTAAACTACATGGAACAACAGTACAGCAAAGTCTGGGCCCTCAGTCCCGAGGCCACTGCTTTTCAGCTGTCTCCATAGCAGGTTGGGAGCTGTGCATTCTCTCCCAAGTAGTTGTGACGGCCATGGTGTTTTCATCAGGCTCATTCAAGGCGCCTATGCAAGTTCTGAAGAAATCCATGCTTATCCTGGGATAAGCAGGCCATCTCCGGGGCTGTGATTACATCATGGCTCCCAAAGCTCTGTCAGAAGTCCTTGTCTGGTCCCCTCGAATCCACGGGGGCCTGAGGCCAAGCTCACCTCTTCAGGGCCGGTGGCTGAGCCCACTGTTCATGCCAGGATGGGCATCACAAAAACTCCTGTCTTCTTGCCAGCCCAAGGGCTACTGGTGGTTTTAAAACGCATCATGGTACAGTTCCTTTTTTTTTTTTTTTAAACAATCTTTTGTCCCCCTCTTTTTCTTAAATGTAAAAAACACCTCGGTACAGCAGAGACAGACACAAAGGGCGGGCGGGAGGGCTGCATGCAGGGGCGTGCATTGGCTGCTGCCGCTTTGTAATTTAATTGTTTTAAACCTCAAACGAACAGGACTGCCGCTGTCACTCAGGCCCTCCAGAGCCACTGGCTGCGAAGGTTTGACCTCCAGCTGGAATCTCCTAATGCCCCTGTGAAACAGGATAGAAGGTGGTAACAGAACAGAGGACAAAGAACATCAAGGCGAGTTCCTAGGACCTAAGCATGACACATGGAGTAAAGTCTGCTGAGAAGGCAGATAGGGGAGAAGCTAATGTTTAAATATAACACTGCCTCACATTTGAGCAACTGTGTCTTACCTATATATATAAGTATCTTATTTAACAGTCTCAAATAAAAAGAGGTAGATATTCTTTCCCTGCTTTTGAAAGCTTGTTGGCATGTACTCAACTTGGAATCATCTTGTTAAAACTATATTGCCCAGTCTTTGCCATTCCTCAGATGGCTAAGATCTCCTCTTCCTGTCCCTCCCAGCCTTCTCTTGCTCTCCAACCCCACCTGTCCCAGCCCTTCCCAGTGCCTCCTTTCCCACCAGTTGCACCTGTGGCTGAGCTCACTGCAGTGGTGCAGCAGGGGCCCCTGAGCAGTGATAGTGGACATTGAGCCACTTGCCATCCCGGCGGTGCCACACCCGGGTCTCCTCTGACTGGCTGGTGCGTGGTCGGCCCTGTCCATCGATGTACTGGGTGAGACGGATGTAGGCGATGCAAGCTGCGTCCTCCCCAATCACGTGCACGTGTGGGTTTAGGATGGTGGTATGGATGGGCTTGCTGTTCTTAGACAAGACTGTAGGGGCAAGACAGGGAGGGGAAGGTAGGAGGGTGTCAGGTCTGGGTACCTAAATTTTCCACCTGGTACGTACTGATTTTTAAGTCTTAGCCTCCCTCCAGCAACCATTCCAAGAATCTCAGTTCTTCATATGACAGAGGTCAAGATGCCCCAATAGATTAGTCTCACTCAAAAGGAGGGGAAACATGAGTAATAGTGACAATAGAAGCTACTCTATTTATTTATTTAATTTTATTTTTGGGTCCAGTTGTGGGGCCTGAACTCTGGGCCTGGGCGCTGTCCCTCAGCTCTTCAGCTCAAGGCTAGCGCTCTACCACTTGAGCCACAGCGCCACTTCCGGTTTTCTGGTGGTTTATTGGAGATAGGAGTCTCACGATCTCTCCTGCCCGGGCTGGCTTTGAACCGCGATCCTCAGATCTCAGCCTCCTGAGTAGCTAGGATTACAGGTGTGAGCCACCAGCGCCCGGCGAAAGTGCGATTCTTATCTCTAATTAACCACCACCCAAAAAGCTGGAAGTGGAGCTGTGGCTCAAGTGGCACTGTCCAGGGACAGTGCTGCCCAGGTATTGAGTTCAAGCCCCAGGACAGGCACACACAAAAAAATAATAATAGAAAGTTTAAAAAATTTCCAAAAGAAGCCTGTTAGTCCTCTATAGGAGTTGTGTGTCTTCCTTCTTCTTCAAATGTGTCTGTCCAGTAGCACCATGTAAGTTACATCTGAGAAGACAGCTGAAATCTTCAGGGCCTGACTGCTGAGCCACTCAGCCCTGCCCTTTTGCCCCAATGTCAGATGCCAGGGCTGGCTGAATCACAAGCAATCGACAAGGTCCTGGGGTTTAATTTAAACACAGTCCATGCCCAAATTGCCATTTCCACAGTGTTCCAGTTGCTTTTTGGAAGCAGAGAAGATATTGAGAGATGACCTATGTCTCAAAGAAAAGGCTCTTTACTCACGTGTAGGCCTCAAAGTCCCCATTGTTAATGGCTTCAATCAGCTGTTCTGTGATCTTAATGATCTCCTGTTTTCGCACTGTAGGAGAAAAAAAAACAAAACTGCTACTTTATCTGCTGGCCATCTCCCAAGTGACAAGAGAGCCCTCCTTAATCCTTCAGGGAGTCCCCTGGTACCTCTTTTTCAAAGACATCCCTCTTTTCTGTCTTTAAGGTCCTTAGCAGGAGTAAGCCCACCTTTCTCTCCATTCTCTCTGTGGTGTCTGCAGAACCAATTGACCACCTTTTCTTAAAGCCCACCCATTAGTCATGGATCTCTGGATTTTGCCTCTCCATCAACAACCAGGTCACAGAAAACACTCTTGTCTTTAACGGCTGAGGCATCTGGAACTTCTTGAATGTTCTACCAGAGTCTGTGTATCCATCTCCAGCAGGTTTAGCCTCTCTGAGAAGCATCTCCCAATATAGCTGTTTCCACCCCCTACTTCTCTCACTGGAAGACACTCCGTCAGGTCTCAGTTACCACCTACAGTCTTAGCCCTCGTTCAGCAGCCCAGAACCTAGCTTTGGGGCACCAGCCAGTCTGAGAGAAGAATCTAGCTAGGGATGAAGATTCCAAAAGAATGGAATCCTAAGAAGGAATTGTCTGCCTAATTCTCTTCACCCTATTCATCTCCTTCCTCCACAGGGCTTTTCTGGGATAAAGAATTTCAACTGTAAACACCCTTGGACAATCTCTCACCAAAGATAGCTCAATTTTCCCTGGACAAAGCTTAGAAAAGCTATAAATCTCACACCAGCTCTCATGCCAGAGTGTGTCCCTGAGGAAAACCAAGACAAGGCTCAGGCTCAGAGGTAGGTGGAGAACCTCCCTCTCTACCCCATTCCAAGCCAAGAAACAGCTGGTGACATCCTGGCCTCAGAAACAGCATCATTATTAGCAGGGGTTACTGCCAGATTAAAGGAATGTATGGACTGAGTTCGGCTAACCCTAACTGGAGCCCTGGGCTGACCCAGACCATAAGCCTTTCCCCATAGGAGTGAGAGGCTGCAAGACAAATGCAAGCATGAGAACAGCACCAGCATTAGAACAGCACCACTGTGCTGGGCCAGCACAACCAAGGAGCATGGTGGGAGCAGAGAGCATGGCTGAAGTGCAACCAGGAGGGACCCCCAGGTACCATCACAAGGGGGGCAGCTCTGGGTGAGCAAGCAGTGGGTTAGAGGAGCCAACAACCTCTGTTGCTTTTCTACAGAAGCAAGCAGATATATCTAGGTAACATACAACCGCGTTACACCCACCTAGAGGACCTGACGGGGGCCCTGTGGGTGAAGAGGACTGCATTTAGAAACTTTGAGGATAGAAGGTAGAAGGAAAACAAGCAAAGTGAGGCACCCTTGAACACAGACAGAACTAAAAATACAAACTTCCATAAACCCTGAAAAGCACCATGTGGAGACCTTCTATTCTCATTTCTTTTTCCTAACAACACTTGAAACAGGTGCCATTTCCCACCCCACCCCCTCCCCCCCACTTCACAGATATGGAAATTGAAGTTCTGGGAAGCTAAGCTAACACAGACTTTTTCAGCTAAATTATGTGGGACTTAAACTTAAGTCTGTTCTACTCTTGTAAGATACTATGCTGAGCCTCAAGAAATACTGCACAGTTCCTCAGCTGATCCAGTTTCACCCTTGCTCCTCCTCTTACCCTGGTAGACCTGACTTCCTACTCTGCCCTTCTTCCTAGCTGTTGTGAAGGCAAGGGTGCCCCCCCCCCTCCACAACCCAAGGGCTTGCTACTCCCTCCCTCCCTCCCTCCACACTTCTTCCACCCATGCTTCTGGTGTTTCTTTGGGCTCCTGCCTGTTAAGAGCAGTGTGTCCAGCTGTTCCCCCACCCTCGGCAGAGGCCATGCTCCCAAAGCTGATGACAACAGGTAGCTGAGCTAGGCTAACAGCTCTGGTAGGGATCCCTGAGGGGCCTCAAGACAAGCCAGGGAGTTGGAAGCCAGAATGTGCCTCCCTCACACTTACTGGCTGAGGAGCAGAGAGAAGGCTGGGGCTGCATGCCTGCAGAGGGGGCTGTTCTGTCCCGGGAGCTCCGTCCTTCAGGCACCAAGCTGCCATTCCCAGTGCGGAGCGGGGCAGCTAGCCAGCCAGGGCAGGGCAGGGCAAGGCAGAGCAGCCAAAACAAACAGAACAAGGCAGGTGAGCGAGCAAGCCAGAAAGGACCCGAGCCCATGGCACTGCAGAGCCTGGGCAAGGTGACGCCTCAGGCTGCTCTGGACGCTGGACCACATCCCACTCCGCTGCCTCTGCCAGAGAGGCCTCACAGCCAGGAGCACTGGGGAGGGTGCACAGACCTGGGCTTTACAGCTCCAAGAGCAGCCTTAAAACAGACTGTACAAGAAGCCCTGCTCCTGGAGAAGATGCTTGAAGGGCTAAGCCCAGGAGTGAAGGTGCCAACTACTCTGCCAGCATCACCAGAACCGAACTGAACTGACTCCCAGCTGTCCTGGCAGTCATATTCTCGCTGCCTTATATGTACATGATTTTGATAGTTTGGGTTCCCAAAGATTTCGTGCCCCTATTGCTTTTGGCATGCTCTCTCAGCTAACTTAGAACATCCTCCATTTTTTTTCTACTGGTTTGGATTGAAGGTCACTTACTAAAGGCCCAAGAAGCAATTCCAGAAGGCCAACCCAAGGAACAGGAAGAGATTCTCACTGGCCTCACCTGCCATATTCCCTGCAACCCTGGCACTCTGGCTGATATGGGCTGGTAGTTCTTGTAGCCTATCAAGACACAGCCATGTGAGGCTTTACAGGCATCATATTAGTTCCAACTTTATCATTCATGGCCAGACCTCAGAACTAGAGCCAACCAACTCATCCCAGACAGTTGGTCCTGATTTTATTGTATTTTATTTTTGTTTTGGTGCTGAAGAAAACCTAGAGCTGTGCATATGCTAGACAAGTGTTCTACCACTAATCTACGCCCATAACCCCTTGTACTGGTTTCAAAATTGAAAGTTTCACATCCCAGGAAGTGCTTTGATCCTGAGAAAACTGGGATGACCAGTTACCCCACTTTTGCTGGGACTTAAGCTGCCTGTTCTGGGATGTCCAAATCATTATCAGCAACAGGAATAGCTCCCTGAACCCTAGTCCTGGAAGCAGGTAATATAGCTGTTCTGAATTTGTTTCAAAGAGAGTCCTTTTGCCCAGTCTAGCAACAGTCTAGAGACAGAGGCCTCATATTTTGGCCTATAGAAAGTAGCTTTTATGCCAAGCCTTCTCCTGCAGTATGAAGAACCAATAATTCTAGTTCTGGGGACAGAGAAGACAAGTGCCCCACCAGTGCCAAGGTACCTGGGCCACAGCTGGGGTCCCTTCCCCTCCAAGGAATAGCACTTACCTTTGAGGTCCTCATCTTCTGTAGTGGTGTTGCAGCTCTCTGTGGAGCCCTGTGAGCCAAAAAGAACATGTTTCTATATGTTCCTCAGTGAAAAAAAGAACAAAAGCAGAACTTGGGTTCCTATAAGAGGTACAAGGAGAAACCTTAGAAGCTTCCACAACCGTCCTTGCTCTCTGACTTACAAACTCTGGGTAACCAAATACCCTTCTTAGGGTTTTTGAACTTGTTAGTAAGTGCTCTCATCTACCCAGCTAACTTGGGCTAAAACCTGGCATCATCCTTGATTCTTCCCTTCTTCTATTTTTCTTATAGCAAGTAGAAAATAAAATTCAACAGTAGTTCTATCCCCAAAACAAATTCTCTATTTTCTTTCTCTTTAAGTCCAAGCTAACACTATTTCACCCCTAAACCACTGTTAGCTCTCCAAGACCTCCCACTTCCACACTTGTCTTCCCCCTTGAGTTTTTGCCTAGAATGTGGCTACAAGTGATCTTGTAAAATTCAAGTTAGATAATATTTCTCCCCTGCTAAAAACTGCCAGCCAGAGAAGTTCTCTTTGCTACAAGAACAAAACACAAACAAACCCCACTGCAAGTCTAGCCTGCTTCTGCAGCTTCACACTCTCCTTTCTGGCCACTGCTCTCACCACACTCAGCTCTGCTTGATTCTTCTAACTCTTGTACAGGTCAGCCATTGCACCTGTGCTCCTTCTGCTCAGGGCACTTGGTCCCACAGACCAGCTGGCTGCTTCCTGTCCCTACTGTGTCGTTTCTAGCTTGGATATTCTCTCTCAAGATACTCAAATAACTTCCTGTTCACTCTCAATATTTTGTGCCACCTTCTTCAGAGCACTTATCACTACTGGATTTTAACTCATTTGGTTATTGATTTTTCATCTGACCCACTTATTCCTGTGGACAGTTTCCCTGCTACCGCTGTAAAGTAGAGCTCAATAGGGGGCGCTCAATAGGTATTCTCTAATGTTAGCAGAAATAAAGGGCCGAGTGGTGGTGGTGGGGTTGGGGGAAAAATAATTCATTATGGTCTTTTTGTTGTGCAGCTTGAATTCAGGATCTGGAAGCTGTCTCTGAGCTTTCTTGCTCAAGGCTAGCGCTCTACCACTTTGAACTACAGTGCCACTTCCAGTTTTCTAGTGGTTAATTGGAGATAAGAGTCTCAGGGACTTTCCTGCTCAGGCTAGCTTCAAACTGCAATCCTGTCTCCTGAATAGCTAAGAATACAGGTGTGAGCCACCAGTGCCTGGCCTTTTTTTTTTTGGTACTGGTCCTGGGGCTTGAACTTGGGGCCTGGGTGCTATCCTTGAGCTTTTTTGCTTTTTTTTAGCTCCACTTTTGGCTTTTTTTAGTGCTTAGAAATAAGAATCTCATAGACTTTCCTGCCCAGGCTGGCTTTGAACATTGATCCTCAGATCTCATTCCCCTGAGTAGCTAGAATTACAGGCATGAGGCTACCAGTGCTCAGCTATTTGTTTATTTTTATTTTTTATTTTTATTTATTTACTTTTTGGGGGGTCCGGTCATGGGCCTGAACTCTGGGCCTGGGCACTGTCCCTCAGCTCTTCAGCTCAAGGCTAGAGCTCTACCACTTGAGCCACAGCGCCACTTCCGGCTTTTTCTTTTTGCTTATGTGGTGCTGAGAAATCGAACCCAGGGACTCATGCATGCAAGGCAAGCACTCTACCGCTGAGCCACCTTCCCAGCCCTGAGACTAGATTTTTGATCTTTCTAGAAATGGGCACTCTGGAACACCAGCAGTGAGAATATAACTAGATAAGGCATTTGAGATATTTGGATATGCATTTATTCTACCACTTGAGCCACAGTGCCACTTCCGGCTTTTTTCTTTTTTCTTATGTGGTGCTGAGGAATCGAATCCAGGGTCTCAGGCATGCAAGGCAAGCGCTCTACCACTGAGTCACCTTCCAAGCCCGTTTTTTTTTTAAAAAGCTATCATTCATTCCCATTTAAACTCTATAAATCATTAAGATTCTGTTAGTACTATCCCCAATTCACAGCTAAGAAAAATGAGGTACATAGTGGTTGCATTTGTTCAGAGTTCTAAAGCCAGAATTACTATCACGTCTATCAGACTGCAGAGTTTGAGCCTAAAATCGCTCAGTTTGCCTTTCCTCAGTGTGGAGCAACTAACAGACCTACAGTGTCTCCAGCCTGGCCTTTGTGAACACCTCAACCCCACGGTGCAGCTGATAGGCGACCCTGTGGATTCTGAGCCCTGCCTTCCTGCCTCCTGCTGATTCAGAAAGCAGGGCAGTCTCAGAAACCATCACTTACCTTGATCCCATCTGTAGCATTGTGTACCACGGTGGTTTGTGGCTCCTGCGAGAGAAGATAAAAATTACCCTCCTGACTTGGGGTCTGACCTACAGCGCTTCCCTGAGACCCGTCCTTACCCCACTGACCTGTATGAGGACCAATGAAGCCAGCCCAACCACCCATCCCCATAAGACAAAATATACTGGTTTAAGGAAAGCCCCAGGGAGCTGCAAAGCTCTGGATTCAAGAAATTGCACTGATAGGTAAAGACTGCGCCTAGCAGGAACAGGTGCATGGGAAGCTGGGATGACAAGGGCTTCTATCCCTGATTGCTACCCTGATTCTGAGAGTTCTTTCTACATGGGGGCTGCATAGGTCATGTACATAGAGGAGTCACAGGACTCAGGACACAGGCTGGGCCCTGCCAACAGTATTCATCAAGGGGTGCATGGAGGCAGGGACAGAGAACAGAATAATAAGGTCTCCCAGCAAACCCAATGCCACGTCAGCAAGCTAAGCTGAGAAAGCTGCCCATTTTGTACACCTTTTGCTTTCCCTAGGTGGCCCTAAGGCACACATGAGGTAGCACAAGAGTCTGCAGGAAGTAGGGGGCATAGTAAGCACAATACTACAATACTCTGTCTCCTGTGCTAACTCTTTAGTTAGCCACTATTAGTCAAGGGAACTCTGAAACACAATGCCCTTTGGAAGAGCCCTGGGAAAACTCAAAACAGGTAGGGGCTCTCCAGGATCCCAGAAACTTCAGCATTATCCAGAAGTAGGGGATCCCAGACTTCCTTCTTGCTCCTGTCTTTGCAAAGGAGAAGCTGAGGCAGGTCCTACAAAGGTGGCCTCTAAGAACTGATGCACAGTACCAAGAAAGTTCCTACCCTCTTTTCTTATAAGCAACTCACCTTCCTGGTCCCTACGGCTGACCCATGGTGACAGCGGAGGGGGGGGGGCGGGGGGGGGTGTCACAGCCTGGGCCTAGGAGGCTTAGCTGAGAGCCTTGGTCACTCTTCCCCCCAATAGCACAAAGAACAGGAACAGCGGTTGTGCCATGCATGATGGAGTGGGGCCAGGCGGGACTATGAGGGCAAGGGGCCTATGGAGCAGCAAACTAGACAGCCTGCTCTACAGGAATGAAGAAAGCAAAGGGGCTGAATAGTCCTAAGGGAGAAGGCAAGAAAAGGAAGAGGGAAAGAGCAGGAGGCAGCCAGGGACAGAGGCAGAGAAGCTGTAGTCAGGAGGTACCATGGCCGTCTGCAAGGACGCAGGCTCTTGGGCTGGGCTTACGAGACTGTTTTTGTTGTTGCTCTGTGGCTGAGACAAGAAAACAGATGGTTTAGTTTCTCTCGTCACCAAAGCTGCTCAGGTTCGGCTCCCAGACCTCCCTATCCCCCTGGCCTAGCCTGGAGGACGTAAGCCTGAGGTGGCCATTGTTAACACTATGCAGATGGGAGCAATGGTTGGAGAGATGATGGGAGAAGGGAATATTGGGAGAGCCTCAGAGATCTAACTCTGGATGCATCTTCTGACTTGTTTTATCTCTCCAGAAATCCTGCTTCTTCCAGGTGCCGCATCACTGTGCAATTATACTTGACCTAAAGAAATTCAGCATCTTCTTCCCACATGACAAATGGAAAGGATGGTGATTTATAAGAAAGTAGAACAAAGCTGTTCCACCTGGCAGCTACATTTCCTTCCCCTTACAACACCAGCTTGAAGTCTGACCTGAGAGGAAGAGAAAAGAGAAGACCAAGAATACCTGGCCTAAGGAGGTGGTACCCAGAGAAGAAAGAGGTGGAACTCAACTTTGGATACAAAATGTATCCACTTGCCTACAGAGCAAAGACAGAGCAGTGCTCTTCACCTGCCTGATAATTCTTGGACTTGATTCTCTAGAAATGAAGGCAGGACTCCAATGAGGGGCAAGACAAACCTTAGCAAGGGCTGAGGCTATAGTCCCAGAACCCAGCCCTCAGGAAAGAGCAGGCTGCCTAGCAGGCCAAGATTCCTAAGGTCAACATACCACCAGGGTTATCACCTTGTCTTTCAAAACATGACAGGAAGAAGTGGGGAGAGGCTTGTGAGGAAGGAAAAGGCCAATGTCCAGGGAAGGGAGCTACATCAATGTCTTCTGTCTCTTACAATTGCCTAACTGGTGCAGTAGTCTTGCTGGGTTTCCCTGTGGAGTTGTGGCCTCCAAGGGGCTTCTCAGTGGCTGTCTTCACCAGGCAGAGATGGACAAATGTGTGGCTCTGACCTCTGTGCAGGACATGGGGCATGCTGACAGAATAGAATAGCTTCTTTTCTCCTAGGACACACAGAGAAGGCAACGGAGCTGCCCTACAGCTTACTTGGAGGCCTCTTAGACCAGAGCTGACATCATCCACCCCATCTTGCTGTCAGTGGCTGGGATGCCACCAAACCCAGAGATAGGCATAGAATCCTGGGCCAGGCTCTACGTGACACAAAATACCACTGAAAATATTGTGACAAGAGAGGGCCCCATGGATCAAATTTTGAACAGCTCTCTTCTATTCCCATTAAAAGAGAAAAAAACCCTCCGAGTTTGACTGCTGATGCTGACCTCTTGCTCAGGTCTGTTTGGAGAGCAGCCCTGCCTGTAAGGTCTAGTTGTCCCTCACAGGGGACAAGGACTCCCAGGTACCTAGAAAACCTTCCTATCTGCAGAGGGCATGATAACACCCAAGCGGTCCTACCTCTGTACTTAATGGATGGTTTCATAGTTACTCATTGCTGTGTTCTCCTTGGTGCCCTATGCCCCATGAGAAAGAAGACACATTTATTATAGTCTTGCAGCTCTTCCCTCTTGGGGTTGGATGGGCAGGATGGAACCATGGGCCCTGCTGGAGAATGGGACTGAGCAAGGCTGAGTGTGGAGCAGCTCATTTGCCTGCACATGGCTGCCCCCTGACTCCATCTACAGGAAGCAGCTGCCTATATGTGGGTTGCACGGCCCCTCTTCCTAAGTGACAGTGAGTGAGAACTCCTTTTTGAACTTGTCACCAGGCTCCAAGTTCCTGCCAGCTTTGTGCCCTACCACTTGAACCACAGCTCCATTTCCAGATTTTGGTTGATGAGTGGCATCACAGACTTTCTTGCCTGGGCTAGCTTCAAATCACAACCCTCAGGTCTCAAGCCTCCTGAGCAGCTAGGATTACAGACATGAGCTGCCTGCACCTGGCTGCTTGACTTTCTATTCCCTCTGTCCTGGGATGCTGGGGGTCATCCAACCTCCACAGCAGAGGGAACCATTCCACACCTTCCAATGCCCACTTCTAAGGCCACTTGAGAGGCCTTGGGTAACAGACCCTGCCTGGCAGGACAGGCCACACCTGCCCACACAGCACAGACATGCAGTGAGGATGAGTGAAGCACACGCACATGGCACAATGGGTCTGCGTGGCTGACAGGCGGGCGCAGGCAGCATGGAGTGGGCGGATGGGTGGGCAGGCAAGGCTCACCATTAGGTGCACGCTGGAACTCGACTTCCTTTTCTGGACACACCACAGCAAAAGGGAAAGAGAAGGGGAAAGAGGAGGTAAGAAGAGAAGCACAGAGACACTGCAGGTTAGTGCACCAGCTCTGCATTGGGGAAAAAGAAGCAGAAGAAGGAGACCAGAGTCCAGGACCAAAGGGTTCCAAACAGCACACAGACTGACAGGCACATACTCCTCTAGATCCCAGAGATGAAGAATTCCTCTGCAGTCAAATTCACAAACATGGACTTAGTACATTCTGAGAAGTGTCAGCCTTGCTCAGAGGAAGCGTCTTAAGGAGATTAAATCATGGGTGTATGTGGGTAAGTAGCATCTGGTTGCTGCAGATTTACAGGTTTAGTTTTACAGAACTAGTGCATTTATGAGGGTATTTACTTTCTCTCACGGCTAGGTCTGCCTGAAGCTCCGGTGAGCAGTCACCTGGTAAACAGCAGAAGCTATTCTGGACTATTCTTGGCTTTAATAACTTTTGACTTCAGAATCCAGACTTTACCAGACCTCTAACTTGCTTCTCAGATAAAGATGCTGGGCTTTTGAAAATGATCTCACAGTTAAATTCTGACATCTTTGTTGGTATGGCCATGCTTAAGAGATTTGAATGTTTGATGGCATTTTATATTGTCTGGCTAATGGGTGCACAAGAATGCTGGTGAGTAAAAGTACACCAGAGAGGGAAGGTCAAAAGCAAACGCCCCCTTATCATCCCCTAGATGCTCTTAGACTCTATGTTCAGATATGCAACAAAAGCATCAAATAGCACTGCATGGCACATTGAAGATATATCTGAGAGCTGGGCGCCGGTGGCTCACACCTGTAATCCTAGCTACTCAGGAGGCTGACATTTGAGGATCACGGACAGGAAAGTCTGTGAGACTCGTATCTCCAGTTTACCAGCAAAAAGCCTGACATAGAGGTATGGTTCAAGAGTGTCAGCCTTGAGTAAACAAACTAAGGGACAGTGCCCAGGCTCTGAGTTCAAGTCCCAGTACTGGCAAAAAGAAAGGAAGGAAGGAAGGAAAGGAAGAGAGGGAGGGAGGAAGGGAGGGAGGGAGGGAGGGAGGGGGAAAGGAAGAAAGGAAAGAAGGAAGGAAAGGAAGGAAAGAGAGAAAGAAAATATGTATATACCTCAGTAGACTGAGTCTAATTATATATGGTGTAATTAGCTCACTGGGAGACAGAAGTCCCTTGGGTATATGCCTGTCTAGTGTTTGACTTTTGTATATTCATTTAAAGACATCCAACAACACTTAGTGAGGTCTGTTCTAGGCATGATAAACATGTCTGAGAAGTCATTTCTCCTCTCAAGGGGCTAACATTCTACTTTAAAAAATCTCAGTGCTGGGCTGGGTGGTAGAGTGCTTGCCTTGCACACATGAAGTCCTCCTTGGGTTTGCTTCTTCAGTACCACATAAACAGAAAAGGCCAGAAGTGGCACTGTGGCTCAAGTGGTAGAGTGCTAGCCTTGGGCAGAGAAAGGCTCAGAGACAGCGCCCAGGCCCTGAGTTCAAGCCCCAGGACTGGCAAAAAAAAAAAAAAAATCAGTGCTGTAGCTCATGTCTATAATCCTGGCAATTTGGGAGGCTGAGAACAGAAGGTTAGCAGTTCAAAGCCAGCCCAGGCTGAGATCCCTTCTCAACTTACAGCTAGATGCCATGGCATATGCCAGTCATCTTAAGCAATGTGGGAGGCTAAGACTGGGAGAACTGAAGTTCCAGACCAACTCAGTCTCTGAGATTCCATCTCAATGCAGAGATGCTGGGTGTGGTTGTGTGATGTGGTTGTGTGTCAACCCAGTCAAGACAGAAAGCCTAAAATAGGGATTTTTGGTCCAGGTGCCTTCCCCGGCAGGAAGTGAGACCCTATCTCAAAAATAACCAGTGCAGAGCCAACCAGACATTATAATCCTAGCTTATAATCCTAGCTCCTCAGGTGGTTGAAATCTGAGAACTGGGGTTTGAAGCCAGCTTGGGCAAACAAATTTGAGACATTTTTATCTCCAATTTACCAGCAAAAAGTTGGAACTTCAAGCATGGCTAAAGTGATAGAGTGCCAGCTGTGAGCAAAAAGCCAAATGAGAGTATGAGATTCTGAGTTCAAGCCTCAATACCAGGACAAAAACAAAGCTGGGGAGGGGGGACGGACTAATTATTGCCAATAGAATGGGTCTGTAAACGTTAAAATGAATAGTCCATAATTTAGACTAAAAAAAGAAAAGCTTAAATATAATTGGACCTCTTCTACATTAGCCTTTTTGAGTATACTCAAATATATGATGGAATTTTATTTCCAAAATTAGCCTTCAAAGAGATAAATCCTGTCTATTGCCTATCTTACGTTCCACTTATCTGTCTTATTACTTTATCTAAATAGCATGCACTTGCTTTGAAGAAAGTTCCACATCTTATATATCATTGCAATTTCCACAGTGCTTAGCAAAATGCCTTATATAAGATGAGCAAAAGTGTGCTGACTGACCAGGGTTTGCTGATTCCAGCTTTTCCCAGGTGAAAGAGAGTGCTGGTTTCTAAGGTTCACAGAATCAGGGTGGTAAGGAGTGGACTGGGCACTCACTCACCAGTCCCAATCTTGGTTATGGTGATTTTCAGGGGCCACAGGAATGACTTGTACCTAGACCTGGCCTTAAAGCAGAAGCCTTTCACTGTTTGCATTAGCCTTGTGAGGAATACGTTCTCAACTGGTCTCTGAGTTAGCTCTCTCCTTCCTGAGCTATTCTACAAGAGAACCCAAGATCTCTTTTCCATTGTAAGGCTGTTTTCCAGGCTAGTACACTTCTTTCAGGTTTTTGTTGTTGTTGTTGTTTTTTGGCCAGTCCTAGGGCTTGAACTCAGGGCCTGGGCACGGTCCCTGAGCTTCTTTTGCTCAAGGCTAGCACTTCACCACTTGAGCCGCAGCACCACTTCCAACTTTTTCTGTGTATGTGGTACTGGAGAATCAAACACATGGCTTCATGCATCTAGGCAAGCACTCTACCACTAAGACACATTCCCAGCCCACATCTTTCAGTTTTTCTCTCCATCCTTTCAGGGCTTTGCCCTCATTCATACACAATTGGGTGCCTTTAAATGCCAGACTGATTTTAAAGAGCCATACTTCACTTCTATTACTGTGTATGTGTGTTCAAAATATTATAATGGAAGAGGGTGCATGCCTTTTCTCCATACTTAAGCAAATGCTCAAATAGTACTTATGAAAATAACTATATATTTTTCTTTTTTTGGCAGTACTGAGGTTTCTATACAGGACCACACACTTGCTGGGCATGTGCTCTACCACCTGAGCCATTCTCCCAACCCTTTTTTTCCTTTTGCCTTAGCTATTTCTCAAATAGAGTCTTAGTCTTCTGTTTTTGCCCCAGGTGGTCTCAGATCACTATCATTCCCACAGGCATCCCATATAGCTGGGGTTACAGGCTCACTCTACCACACTCTCATTTCTTATTGAAATGAGAGTGTCACTAGCTTTTTGCCTAGGCTGACCTTCAACTATGATCCTTCTATCTCCACTTCCCAAGTAGCTAGGACTACACGTGTAAGCCACTGTGCCCTATGGCTTAGATGGTCATCTGGGCCTTGGACTAGCAGAATGCAAAGCTGTTTTAGACTAGCAGGCTAACAGGATTGCCACCTTGTCCTCTGATACGTCTCTTACTTTTCCACAGACCTTGGATCACTAGCATCTACTTTCAAAGATACCTATTCAGAACCTGGGTCTCCAAATTCAAGAGCACAAGACAGACTATCTACTCAAACTAAGGCTAGTATTTTAAACTTACAGAAAGCTTCTAAACAGCGAGAAGAGAGCTTCTCATGGATACTTGGCAGAACACCTCAGGGAAGGGGAAGACAGGATCTGGAATGCAGGATGCTGAAAGCTCTGGGATTCTGGAAAACTTCTCAGGCTTCCTTTGCCAGCCTGATAATCTCCTCAACTCCACATACCTTGCTTTGTCCTTCCCTTTCCTTTTCTCCCTTTCATATATCCAACCCATTAGCTGGTTTACATACATATGGGTTATAAACAATGTAGAAAATGGAAGTGGGAAAAACAAACACTCCTACCACACTTCTAGCTTTTTTCTTGTGGAATTAAAAAATACCATTATGAGCTTTATACAAGTGTATGTCTTATTTTAGAAATAATACTTTGGAGCCAGGCGCGGGTGGCTCATGCCTGTAATCCTAGCTACTCAGGAGGCTGAGATCTGAGGATTGTGGTTCAAAGCCAGCCTGGGCAGGAAAGACCCTGAGACTCCTATCTCCAATAAACCACCAGAAAACCGGAAGTGGTGTTGTAGCTCAAGTGGTAGAGCGCTCGCCTTGAGCTGAAGAGCTGAGGGACAGCGCCCAGGCCCTTAGTTCAAGCCCCATGACCGACAAAAATAAAATCTCAGCCTCCGGAGTAACTCAGGCTGGCTTTTAACTGTGATCCTTACATTTTATCTTCCTGAGTGGTTAGGATTATTGGCATGAACCACTAGTGCCTGGTTATCTGATCTTGTTTGTTTTGTTTTTGTGGTGCGAGAGCTGAAATCCAAGACTTTGCTATACTCTGCCTCTGAGCTACCTAGCGCCAGGTGTATTTCTGACCTATCTGTATCCCTGTGTTCTGGCTGTATACTGAGTATCAATATGTGAGAACTCATAACAAAGTTTTATTGTTTTTAGGTTACAGAAGTAATACAGTCTCACTTGAAAGAAAATTAATAAGTGTTCTTTAAAATTCCATACTCTAGAAGCAATTATCACTGAATTACCCCGTAAGCTTCCTGTACCCTTAAGCTTTCTCCATAAGCTTTTTGGCCTGAATCATCCCCAACAGAAGGTTCTGTTGCAATGTGTGAGTCTAGGTGTGCCCACCTTTTCCTAAGGTGAGATGAAAGCTCCATCTCTTGCATGTCCTGTGTACACCTCAGAACCATGCAAGGGGCTAGACTTCAAGTAAGGACGTATTAAACATTTTATTAAGATGGACATATTGTTAGCGTCTTTCCCAGGGAGAAATATCCAAATCTCTCTCCAACTAGGCATGGAAACATGGCTCAAGCACAGTGTAGTGCCCGCCTAGCACGCATAAAGCCCTATGTTCAAACCGAAGTACCACCAAAATAATAATGATAATAATTATAATAAACCTACTCTTTGATTTATACATAAGTAATAAATCTGCTCTTTTTCTCTAATTAGGCCCCACACATCTGTCTCACATCCATAACCAGGGACTGCCCCAGCTCTCAGCAGATATATGCAGAACCAAAGTTCCCCTAACAGGGCCAGGACACAGAAGCAGACTCATAGGGAACAAGGGAAAGAGGAAGGGGTAGGGGAGGGGAGCCAGGCATATTTCAACTATGGGTACAAGATTCTGGGAAGAGGCCCAATTTCAACTTTGGCTGGAGATTTGAAGCTTTGGATAATTTCAAAATTTCAACTTCTTTGTGATGTTAAGTTGGTAGGTTTAAACACACCAAGAACACCTATCCAATGGCTTAACCCCAGGAACCTTTCTGTCTCCAAAGCATATGTGTATCTGGTTCCTACGTGTACCCCAGCTACCTCTCTTTACTTCAAGCCAAGACCAGCAGGGCTTTGTACTGGTCCCTGAAGCCACCTAGTCCCTCCTCTTGCTAGGGTCCCACAAGAAAGTTCCTTCTCCAGATGAGGAGCCTATCTTTGAGAAAAGCCTAAAACACTTTCACTCTGTGGTATCTGAATTGGGTTCTAGAAGTGTTTTACAGATAGGAACAAAAGACTAAAAAGATAGTGGCTTCAGGTTCCTAGCCTCATACCTTGCCTTGAGTGAGCAAACCACTTCTATTTCATTAAAAAAAGAAAAGGGGGATGGAGTAGGGGAAGGAAATAAACCAAATGACCTAACACTCTGAGAGTCATGCCCTAGTGATGAGGCTAAGGATGAAGTCAGGCTGAGCTGTAGGAAGCTATGATTTAGATCACTACCCATCTAGTTTTCCCAGCCATCTAGGCTCTGGAGAGATACTTCTTCCTTCTTCCCTCAGACCAGTGGAACATGCTGTTCTGAGCACAAGGGCTTCTTATTTAAAGCAGAACAGCAAGGGCAGAACAGATCCCAGAGAAAAGGGGAACAAGATGCCTAGGATCCTCCAGCATAACTGCTGGGACAGAGGCCAGTCTCCCGTCAGAGGAGGAGAAACACACCTACCTTGACACCGCCATCCGACTTCTTGTTCAATAGACTTTTGGCAGCTGTGAAAACAAAGAGGAAAGTCTTATCTCCTGTATCTATCCCCTCTCCAGCTTGAGTTCCAGGCAGCCAGATCTGCAAGAGACTGCTGTGCTGACAAGGGGCCAACGGTCTCCAAGCCCCCAGAAAGAAGTCCTTCTCAGTATCCCCTCTGCAAGAAGGGCATCTCAAGGCTATCAGAGCCCTCAGGGCGGCACCATGGGACTCTTCTGCCATGGAAGAGAGTTCAGCAGAAGCGGTCACCTTGCGCTTAGGAGGAGAAACAACACTTAGAACTGGAGCCACCTGAGGCACCGGGAGCACTGCCCTTGACAGCTTCCACCCAGTCTGGAAGCAGAGTGCCAGGGTGAAAGGGTGAGGGCCATATCCCTAGATGCCACGGACGTTCTCCAGATGCCACACTGGAAGGATGCAAGACATCTCCAAAGTGTTCTCAAGAAACAGTCTCACAGTTCACAAAGGAAACCAGACGTGAGGACACACAGACACAGACACAGAAACCAGGACCACCTACAGGAGGGTTTTGCCAGGGGGTTGAAGCCTTCACTGGGCAGGAACTCACTAGGTTTACTAAGTGCTAGCTGTCACCCCTTTGCCAGACTCTCTGGACCTTTGAGCAGAAAGGACTGAACAGAGTGATGAGCTGTCAAACAGCTTCTAACCAGTCATAGAGTGCTCAAGGCTGTTAACTCCACACCCAAAGGCTGGTGACACTGGCAAGCCGCATTGGCAAAGTCATAACAGCTCCAGGAAGGTAGCAGACAATAGGAGAGGCCTGAGGGGCATAAGGAGAGATTCAGCCCAGATGTCTGAATGGCCTGAACTGCCCTGGGTTTGTATCTTGGTTCTACCACTTGGTACTTTTGTGACCTCGAGTGAGTCACTTAACCTTTTTTTTTTTTTTTTTTTGTCGGTCGTGGGGCTTGAACTCTGGGCCTGGGCGCTGTCCCTCAGCTCTTCAGCTCAAGGCGAGCACTCTACCACTTGAGCTACAGCGCCACTTCCGGTTTTCTGGTGGTTTATTGGAGATAGGAGTCTCACGGTCTCTCCTGCCCGGGCTGGCTTTGAACCGCGATCCTCAGATCTCAGCCTCCTGAGTAGCTAGGATTACAGGCGTGAGCCACCAGCGCCCAGCGTCACTTAACGTTTTTGAGTCTTGGTTTCTTTATAGAATGTGATCATCAGAACGTAAACCAGTCAACTGGTGAAGATCCAGTGAGGCCATATCTGCAAAGCACTTAGCTCAATGTCTGGCCACGGTAAATACTCGTTAACCCAGGATGTCTCTATTGCTGCTGCTCTTTCGCTCTTCAGGTCATCTTGCCTACCTAACCTGTGTTCCATCTCTTTCTAGTGAGATGTCGGGGTTCTGTTGGGGTTCTCCCTGACATCTCAAGAGTCTGGCTCCAAAATTTTTTCTATCTCTAGTCATATTGGAGTTAAAAATTAATTTTTTAATGTGTTTATAGTGAGTCTGACTGCCTATGGATTTTACAGACATCAGTCAGTTCTCAACTCTGGTTGCTCAGTGTAATCACTTGCAGAGCTTTATAAAATGCTAGTCCTATCCCATCCAGTAAGGATTCTGACTTATATTGTCTGGTGTGGGGATAGGGCTTGCCATTGGGAGATTGTGTGTGTGTGTGTGATAATGAAGTTTGCATGCAAGGCCTCAAGCTTGCTAGGTAGGTACTCTACCAGTTGGGCCACACCTCTACCTCAAGCAAGCACTGGGAATCTTTATGAGCTCCCAGGTAATTGGTTGTTCTGTACAGGCAGAGCTGAAAACCTATGACATATATCATCTTAAAAAAAAAAAATCACGCTGTTATTCCCCTTACAGAGATGAGGAAACTAAGGCTGAGTGAGTTGAGGGGACTTGGTGTGGCAGGGTTAGGATCCAAACCCAGGGATAGCTGATTCTGAGGCTTCTGCACGCCATAGCCTTTCATCTGGGAGTCTGAAAGCATAGACTTAATAATTTTTGAGGGGCATGGTTTCCTCCCTCTATGGAGTCTTAAGCAGTGCTGCAGAAGTCCAGCCCTAGCACTTGGCAGCTCTGGGCTCTGCCCAGAGCTGTCTGCAGGTCAGGCCCACAGGCCATCTGAAGGAAAGGCTCCTACTGCCCAGCTCCACATCCCCAGGCTATTGCCTCCTGAGAGTTGGCAAGCGCCCAGCATGCACGGCTGGTTAGGGGGCTCTGGAACATCAATGCGCTCGCAGATGCCAAGTTAGGTGGTCCATCTGGCATGCCCATCTCAGCCCGCAAGCATGGGACTGGCCTCCCTGGTGAGTGGGCCTAGCATGCTGGCCCTCCTGGTGGGGTGGCAGGGAGCCGAGGCAGGCGGTCAGGGAGGACTCATGCCACGTACCTTGCCCGGCCAGGCCGGCGGCGCTCGCGGCAGGCGAGGCGGGGGCGGAGCTCTGCCTGCCAACTGAGGGGATACAATCTCTCAGTGCACAGAGCTGCCGCAAAGCCACGGGGGGCCAGACAGCAGCGAGCATGCCCCAGCACGATGCTTGGGAACCACTGGCTGCCGCACACAGTACGACCCAGGTGGCAGTGGCCAAGCCAGCTGAGCTGGGGAGCAGAGGTGCCAAGGGGCAGGCTGAGATGGCAGGAGCAGCCAGCCCTGCAGCAGTCTGGGGGACCTGAGAGGATCAGGCTTGGACAGGGTGAAGGGAATACCACGCCTTTACGTTGTGGAGATGGCTTCAGTACTTGTCCCATGGTCGCCTCTGGTGAGATTCCCCAGAGAAAAGCCTGATTTGGTGGGAAATAGGTACCTTTTCTGAGGTGATCTACTTAAGGTTGGAAGGACATTGAGCTTCATCAGACCTTCACTCCTACAACCTAAATGAGCCTGTTATCCAAGAGCCTGGAGCACAGAGCAGCCCTTTCCCCTTAACACTTTCCAAATAGTAGAGAGGCACTGGAGCACAGGAGACCCTATGGCCCTGCGCAACCATGCTTATCGATGGGCCCAGCTCCTGAGAGACACAGGTCGCTCTCCCTCATAAGGAAGGCAACCAAGAGAGACAGTTTTTCTCAGCCTGTATTTCACAAGTGCACTAAGGGTAATGATGTCCAGGAAATTAGTCCCCAGGAAGAAAACAGAAGCTGCCAGAGTTGTGGGTTCTAGAAGCTCTGATTTCATCATTTGCCAAGCTACTACAATCCAGGACTAAACTAGATTCCCTATTTGTGCAGGTACTGGGCTTGAATGCTCTTGCTCTTTTTTTTTTCTTTTTTCCTTTTTTTTTTTGCTGGCTGGTTCTCTACCACTTGAGCCATGCCTCCACTTCCAGCTTTTTACTGGTTAATTAGAGATAAAGAATTGCTTAGATTTATCTGCCTGAGCTGGCTTTGAACTTTGATTCTCCAATCTCAGCCTCCTGTATGTCCTTCATTACACCTGTAGATAGTTCTTTCTGAGGAATCTTATGGAGACTGGCTCTGTCCTCTCTAGGGCTGAAGAGGTCGACTATTCTGAAATGCACTGGTTTGGTTTGTTTGGGTTTTGGTCTTCTTTGACCTGGGCAAAGTGAGCTCTAAGACCAGACAAGGTCTGGGTAATGAGGACAGGATGATCTATAGGATAAATTAGTACTCTGTCCTAACAGCCAATTGTCTGAACAGCTCAATTATCTGAAACCAGGACACTGATTTCCTGGAGACCCAAGGCCATGAGACAGGATACTTGCTACTAATTGGTCAGGATAAAAAAAGCACAAGCTTGTCTTCACATTTCTATGATAAAAGGAGAAAGAACAAGCACCACTCTAGGTACAGCAGAGAAACTCCCTCAAACATAATTCTCTAGAAAGTTTTTTTTTTTTTTTGTAGGTTGCGGGGCTTGAACTCTGAGCCTGGGCGCTATCCCTCAGCTCTTCAGCTCAAGGCTAGCACTCTACCACTTGAGCCACAGCACCATTTCTGGTTTTCTGAGTGGTTTATTGGAGATGAGAGTCTGACGGACTTTCTTGCCCGGGCTAGCTTTGCACTGCAGATCTCAGCCTCCTGAGTAACTAGGACTACAGGTGTGAGTCACCAGTGCCTGGCTAGAAAGGTTCTTAAACCGAGAAAGCAGAAGCTGTTTAAGTAATTAGAAGATAAGTAACACAATGTGGGCCTGCAAGTCCATCTCTGTGGGAGTGGCCAACCACTTACTCCTCTCCCCCTCTGAGAAAGGAAGATTCAGGAGCACAATCTTCCTAAGTGGCCACCAACAACTTAAGAATGAACCCTCAAACCAGGGTCACAAGGGATGGGCATCTCTGAACTCACTATTCAGTCCTAACACTGGAGCCCTTTAGCTCTCCAGTTGAAGCCAGTGAAGCGTTAGGACTTCCTTCTGCAGGCTCCTCTGAGCTAAGGCCCTTGGGTTACCTGGAACCAGTAAACCAACACAGCCGAGCTCACTGGGACTCAAGGAAGCAAGCCCTGCCCAGAGTGGCTGCTCACCCTAACTGGAGGCTGGTACTCCCGCACAAGCCCTTCTCCATGCGGCACAGTAGGAAAGCGAGGGAAGGGAGTCTTGTTAAGAGGATGAAGTCAGGAAGGGAGTCTTCAATCAAAACAGCGAGGGAGTGTTAGAGGGAAGGAAGACCAGGAGCAACAGCAAGCTGGGGAGAGACCATTCTGCCTTTAGTTAAGTCTTGACATCATTTACCTTTTCCTCAAAGAAAAGCCACTGTGCTCCCAGCTGAGGGCAAACAATGATTGGGAGTGGGGTAAAAATGGGGCAAAGGGGGACTGGAGTGTCTTGCATCTTGAAAAGTAAAGTCAAGTGTGATTTACAAACTACTGATCACAACTCTTATAATTCTTCTTGCATATCTAAGCAGTTCCTTTTCATCCTACCTGCTGGTTTCTGTTTCTTCACTTTTACAGCCAGTATCTCAAAGAATACTTAAGTGTGGGTCACTATAAAAGGTTTAAAGTCCTGGAATAACTTTTATTAGGCATCTCAGCTTGGACAATATGAAGTAAGAAACCATCCTAGTGGGTGGCACCACTGCACCTCATTCTTTTTGTTGTTTCCAGCACATTCTCCAATGCCTTGGTTTGCAATCATAATGTGCTGAAATAAGAAAGAATATACAGGGACAAGGTACAGGGGAGGTGGAGAATACTTTATGGGAGATTCTAAGGAATGGAATTCATACATTTGAGCTCCAACAGAAGCCTCCCCCCCCCACCAAAGAATCTCAGTAACAGGACTTAGAATCAGGACTTGATGGCAGCAGCCCTCCAAAACAGAAATCCTTATTCATCCTGCTCGAGGTGCATGCGCACATCTGTGCTGCCTGGGACTGCTGGGTTCCATTTCTGACCCACTCACCTCTGCAGAATTAAATTGCATAGTTGGGAACACATACCTGAAAAGTTCCTGGAGACAAGCATGGTGGTGAGGATGGCACCCTGGGGAAAGAAGAAGGTCTCATGAGTTCAACTGAATGTCAGTAAAAGTAGCATGGCCTAAAGCAAAAGCAGCTGCTTTTAGGTTAGATTCCACACACTTCAGGTTTCTGCCCCTATCCCCCAAAATGTACAAATAGCCCTCAGCTCTAGCAGGATGGGAGCTTCTTGAAAAGATAGGAACTGCACTGCTGGAAGGCCACATTTCAGGAGGCTAATGGTCCAGAAAAAAAGACCCACCTTCAGTTTTCTCCGGGCATTGAACTTTCGCAAGCACTCTACAGTCTCTTGGCGATGCATCATGGAGGCCACTGTGGACCGTTGCTGGAAGCCAAACACAAAGACCTGTGAGACCCCAGCCCAGGTCCTCTACCCTTTACCTTAGTCCTGGCACTAATGATTACTTGAGGACAGGGTCATGTGCTCTGGCACCACAGAGCTGCTCTGAAGCTCAAAGGAGGTCTCAGACACAAAAACACTTTTAGAACAAAAGCACTATCCCAAACTCAAGGTTATATAGGGACACGTGAATATGAAACCACCACCAATAACAGATGCTAGATGAGTGTGCTGAGAAAGCTTTCTTCTAATCTTCCTTGGGCAAAGGTGGCTGAGGATGGGAAAGAATATCCGGAGTGCTGGGACCTGGTTCAGTTACTTCTTCGGCAACTGTTTACCAAATACTCACTGTAGTTCACATTCTGAACTCTGAGAGACAGCAGAGAGCTGTAAGTGCTTTGCAAACTTCTATTTAAGCTTCTTAAAAATCATTAGTGCTAGCTGGGCACCAGTGGCTCACACCTGTAATCCTAGCTACTCAGGAGGTTGAGGATCTGAGAATCATGGCTCAAAGCCAGCCGGGGCAGGAAAGTACGTGAAACTCTTATCTCCAGTAAACCACCAGAAAACTGGAAGTGGCGCTGTAGCGCAAGTGGTAGAGTGCTAGCCTTGAGCTGAAGAGCTGAGGGACAGTGCTCAGGCCCAGAGTTCAAGCCTCAAGACCGACAAAAAAAAATCATCAGAGCTATAGGACATGACATTAAGTAAAATAAGCCAGCCATACTGACAGGTACTGCATGTTCTCTTTCATATGTGGAAATTAAAAAGAAATAAAGTTAGTGGTGCTGTCGCTCGAGTAGAGTGCTTGCCTTGAGCTGAAAAGCTTAGGGACAGCGCCCAAGCCCAGAGTTCAAAAAACAAAACAAACAAAGCAAAAGTTGATTAGTTTTAGGCTGGGGAGGTGGCTTAGTGGTAGAGTGCTTGCCTAGCAATCACGAAGCCCTGGGTTCGATTCCTCAGTACCACATAAACAGAAAAAGATGAAAGTACCATTGTGGCTCAAGTGGTAAAGTGCTAGCTTTGAGTTAAAGAAGCTTAGAGACAGTGCTCAGGCCCTGAGTTCAAACCCCAGGTCTGGAAAAAAAAAAGAAAAAGAAAAAAAAAGAAATAAAGTTTAATGGAATGTAGAACAGTGATTACTGGAAGTTAGAGAGGCAAGAGATATTGATTACTAAATCATCACAATACTATGCATTAAAATATAATTTATATTACTATAAAACATTAATTTATATGTATAATAAATTTTATTAATTAAAAATTTTTTAAACAAAAAGACAGCCAGGCACTGGGGGCTCAAGCCTGTAACCCTAGCTACTCAGGATCCTGACATCTGAAGAATGTGGTTCAAAGACAGCCTGGGTAGGAAAAGGCTATGAGGCTTTTTTCTCAATCACAAAAAAAAAAGCCAGGGGCTGGGAATTTGGCTTAATGGTAGAGTACTTGCCTAGCATGCAAGTATGTGCCTAGCATGAAGCCTTGGGTTCAATTTCTCAGTATGACATAAACAGAAAAATCTGGAAGTGGCGTTGTACCTTAAGTGATAGAAGCTAGTCCTGAGCAAAAGAAGCTCAGGGGCAGTGCCCAGGCCCTGAGTTCAAGTCCTAGCACTGGCAAAAAAAAAAAAAAAAGCCAAAAAATGGAGTTGTGGCTCATGTGGTAGAGCTAATTAGCCTTGGGTAAAAAAGATAAAGAACAGGGGCTGGGAAGGTGGCTCAGTGGTAGAGCGCTTGCCTTGCATGCATGAGGCCCTGGGTTCGATTCCTCAGCACCACATAAGCAAAAAGAAAAAAGCCGGAAGTGGCGCTGTGGCTCAAGTGGTAGAGTGCTAGCCTTGAGCTGAAGAGTGAGGGACAGCGCCCAGGCCCAGAGTTCAGACCCCACGACCAGCAAAAAAAAAAAAAACAGTATTGAGGCTCTGAGTTCAAGCCCTAGTACTGGCACAGGTGTGCGCGTGTACACACACATGTACACACACACACAGAGGACAAAAATAGAGCAAGCTCCCCAATACATCCTCGTCCCCCAGGGTGTACTAACTTCTTTTCCCCTTCACTGCCTAGCTCCTTAGAAAACCTTAGCCACACTTCCTTCTCACTGCTTGGAAAGCAGGTTTGTCTCACTGTTAGTGGAATGATGAAACAATGGCCTCTCATTTAGTAGAGTCTGGTTGTTCCTTTCCATCTTTTGAGCCACAGCACCCATTTCTGGCTTTTTCTGTGTATGTGGTGCTGAGGAATCGAACCCAGGGCCTAATGCATGCGAGGCAAGCGATCTACCACTGAGCCACCTTCCCAGCCCCTTCCTTTCCATCTTTACCACAGACTCCTGAAGTCTTTGATTACTAAGAGGCTTGTTTCTTAGATTCTGAATCTTCTTTGACTATGAAAGTTATTCTCAGTCCCTTTTGCTAGGTCCTGTAATTCTCACTGTCCCTAAATGCTAGTGTTTGGTGGCTTTTTCTTCTCTTCACAGCACAAGCTCACAATAAGGATTTTTTTTTTTTGGTCGGTTGTGGGGCTTGAACTTTGGGCCTGGGAGCTGTCCCTCAGATCTTCAGCTCAAGGGTAGCACTCTACCACTTGATCCAAGCACCACTTCCAGTTTCCTTTTTTGGGGGGGAGGGGGAGTCAGTCATGGGGCTTGAACTCTTGGCCTGAACGCTGTCGCTCAGCTCTTCAGCTCAAGGCTACGCTCTACCACTTGAGCCACAGCGCCACTTCCAGTTTTCTGAGTAGCTTATTGGCAATAAGAGTCTCATGGACTTTCCTGCCTGGGCTGGCTTTGAACTGCAATCCTCAAATCTAGCCTCCTGAGTTGGTAGGATTACAGGCATGAGCCACCAGCGCCTGGCTCTGTACAATAAGGATCTTGATTGGCAAGATTACCTACAGAACAATGATAACCTGCATTTCCAACTTTTTGTCCTTTTCTTGTTTTGCTCTCTTTCTCTCTTTTGTGCTACTAGAACTTGAACTCAGGGTTTCAGAGTTGCCAGGGTGGCATTCTACAATTTAAGTATACCTCTAGAGCCTTCTTTTCTAATGTGTACATCCATATTTCTCCTCCTCCTCCTGTTTGTGTCTGTCCCTTCCTTCTGCAAATCAAACTGGTCACTAAATCCTAAATATCTCTTGAATTTGCTACTTACCACATTACCCACTACCTCTACTGCTAGCTGAGACCTTATCTTGTCTTGCTTAGACAGCTTTCTCAGCTCTCTGCCTTTCTCTCTCTCTCTCTCTTTTTTTTTTTGTCGGTTGTGGAGGCTGTCCCTCAGCTCTTCAGCTCAAGGCTAGCAATCTACCACTTGAGCCACAGCGCCAGGTCCAGCTTTTTTCTGCTTATGTGGTGCTAAGGAATCAAACCCAGGGCCTAATGCATGTGAGGAAAGCACTCTACCACTGAGCCACCTTCCCAGCCCCTCTCTGCCTTTCTCTTGTCTCCATCAATTCTATTTTCTACACAGCCTCCAAAGTAATCTTTCTTAAATATAAACTTCATACTCTTTTTAAAATGGTTCCTCATGCTTTGAGAATAAAATCCCCAACTCCTTAGGCAGAAATTTGTATGTCATACTCTTTTTGGCCCCATTCTCTTAACATTCCTATAGTTACAGCCTTGTTGACAACCAAACTACTTAACATTCCTTACACTCAACAATTTCCCATGGCCTCTCACTCTGGCTCATGCTTATTTCTCTCTGCACGGTAACAGTTTAGGGAGTTCTTACTCATCCACTAAGAACCAAAACCTAGGTCATCTTCTCCATATAACCTTTGTGACACTACAGACCTCCAGGGACAGCAGGAACTCCTACACTTATTAGGTTCTTTCTTATGTTCATCACATTGTTTTACAGCTGTCTGTTTAAGTCCTTTTCGGCCGGATCTCTCAGGCAAGGCCTGTGCCTTGCATCTCCAATATCCCATAATAACCAGCACCAAAGAGGCATCCAATAAACACAAGAATGAACAAATAAAGAAATGCAGCATGGTTGTCAAAATACCTAACTAGACCCTCTTTGTCCAAAAGTAGATATTTGACTGACTTGTGTATGAAAACATAGTATAAACAACACCTTTCCTAGGGATTCAGCACAGAAGCTTCATGACTCAGCTTCAGGATGCTTGGTGGGTTTTTTTTGGGGGGGGGGAGGGGTTGAAGACTGGTACTTGAACATGATATCTGATGTTTTTGCTCATTGGCTAGTGCTCTACCAACTGAGCCACAGCTCCAACCCCAGAATGCTGTTTTAATAGCTCAGAGGCATCTTTTATTTTTTGGGTCCCAGTCACAGTTCTGTTAGAGTTATATGATAGTTGAGACTGAATAGGCCCTAAACTTGGGAGTTCACTTTAGGTTCTGCCAACTGCTTTTTATCATCAACTACCCAGTCTGCAAGGGCCATTCCAAGTCCTCATTCAAAAAAACTCAATCAATGGGCTGGGAAAGTGGCTCAGTGGTAGAGTGCTTGCCTTGCATGTATGAGGCCCTGGGTTTTATTCCTCAGCACCACATAAGTGGAAAAACCTGGAAGTGGTGCTGTGGCTCAAAGTGGTAGAGTGCTAGCCTTGAGCTAAAGAGCTGAGGGACAGAACCCAGGCCCAGAGTTCAGGCCCCACAACTGACCCAAACAAACCAAAAAACAAAAACAAACCCCTAAATCAAGCCACGCACGAATGGCTCATGCCTGTAATCCTAGCTACTCAGGAGGCTGAGATCTGAGGATTGAGGTTTGAAGCCAGCTGAGGCAGGAAAGTAAAGTCTGTGAGACTCTTAATCTCCAATAAATCACAGAAAAAGCTGGAAGTAGCACTGTGGCTCAAGTGGTAGAGGGCTATCCATGAGCAAAAGGAGCTCAGGGACAGTGCCCAGGCCCTGGGTTCAAGCTACAAGACCATCCCAAAAGACAAACAAAGTCCATATAAACAAAATCCCACAACTAAATCACAGTCTTTCACAACAACAAATGGGGGTGAAGGCAAGTAAAAAAACTGTTGGCCCTTTCTGATTCCCTGAGTTCCCAAATGGCATTGATTGACCTTGGCCTCCACTCATTCTCCCTGACTCTGGTTAGGGACCAGATGATTCTCTGCTGATAAAAAGCAGTGTAAGGGAGGCACTGAGGGCACTGGGGAACTGCCACCTCTGATCCCCAAGACCTGGGGCAAGATACTTACACAGACCCATGGATGCTTGAGAGCCTGGTCAGCTGTGATGCGCTTTGCTGGGTTTATGGTCAGCATTTGGTTGATCAAATTCTTGGCTTCGGGGGTCACCGTGTCCCATTCTGGTGATGGGAACTAAGGAGCAGGAACAGGGGAAGGAAGGATATGACACATGTGAACCCACACCCTGAAATGTAGGCTGTTTTCATCCCAAATCCTATAATTGGGATACTCTGTGGTAACCAAAGGTTCTGGATAGAGAGCTGGAGAAACCTGAGCCTATCCTAGAACCTATGTAAACTTACACTAGAAAAGGAAAACCAGAACAGTCATGGTTAGAATGCTAGAGTACCAGACAAGAGCATTTTCTATTTCAGCTTGATCTCTCTACTAAGGAGAAAATGGGTACAGCTGTATGCCCAAGGTACCACTATAGTAGAGGGAGACTCCAGACTTCTCCCTGTGTGATGCAGCACACCTTGTGGCTTCTCCTTTCTTTGTAAAGATCAAAGGACTTAAGTGAGTTATTTAACTTTATAGCTACCAAGATGATTCCTGCCCGCAAGAAAAGGAAGAAGAGTTAAAAAAAAAAAAGTTGCTCCCTGCACACAGGGTGGCAATATTGAGTCCTGTATGTCTATCCCTGGATCCTCAAAGTCCCTTGACATCCTCTGTATCATGTGACACAATAAACACACCCGCTCCCTTGGACAGAACCTGAGGGATAAGAAATTTGTTCTTCCCAGGGTACTTGCTTAGCTCTCAGAAAATCCATCCTTACATCATAGGCTCCAGCTTTGATCTGCTGATACAGCTTGTGCTGATCCTCATCCCAGAAGGGAGGATAGCCCACCAGGAGGATATACAGGATGACCCCTATGAGACAGAACACACAAGTCACTGGGGTCAGTCACCTACTTCCCCGAGGAACCAAGAAAGGCCATGCAGGGCTCAGAGCCACCCAGAAAGGCAAGGGCCAAACCAGAGTTAGAGATGGATGTCGGTTGATAATGCTGTTCCGCCAGCCCCTCCTGCTGTGCCTCACTCTTCACATTACTAAGTCACATCAGAGATTTCTTTAGGCACAATCTATCCTCTAAGGCGTGGGCAAATCCCTCTCCAAGAAGGATGCAACATAATCCAGGAAGTTACTTAGGAAAGAGGGTGTGATGAGAACAGCCCTCCCAGGGGGACAAGAACGAACACCATGATCTCACATATAGCAGGCACTTGTGGAACCTACAAGGAAGAGCAATGCCTCTTTCTTGCCATCACCAGAAGCCGAAAGCCCTTAACACCGAAAATGTGGAGTGTGGAATGGGCTTACCGCAGGCCCAGATATCCACAGGTTTTCCATAGGGATCTTTCCTCAAGACCTCAGGGGACAAGTAACCTGGGGTGCCAGCAAAACCTGTAGCAGAAGAGAGGGCAGAGGCACACTGAGCCTACTTTCCGTAAGCCCACATCCACAATTTATTCCAAAAGCCCTTTTCAGTCTTGCTGCTTTTGCTACGTAAGCTCTCAGCACACAGGCTGCAAGAGATGACAGGAAGGTTTTTTGTAGTGTCTGGAATCTAAATCAGAGGGCTAGTCCATGTGCCTACCAGGAACTTCAACACCTCCCCAGAGGCAGCAAGAATGCAATCCTGACAACAGCTAGACTCACTGTACTGAGTCATGAAGGCCAGGAGCAATCTGCACACTCCCACCCTCCTCCACTCACCGAGGAAACCAGGACCATTAAAGTTCTGGCTTCTATTTCTGAAAGAGGAAGACAGATCAGGAAGAAGAGGAAGGGTGGGGGCTGCATTCTGGGAAGCCAGGGTCACTCTTACCAAACCAAGCTTGCTGTTCTCCCTGTACTTCGATGGCCAGACCAAAATCAGCCAACTTGACCGCAGCACCCTTGCATTTACTTGCAAGTAGCAAGTTCTCCGGCTGCAGATGGAACAGGGAGAACCTTGTAAGGCACCCAAAACGAGCCTACTTTGGGCCCACACAATACTGATGCCTGGCACCAGGTGGCGCCAATATGTCACAAGCAGGAAGCAAAGAAGGGGGCCTGGGTAGTACCTTCAGGTCCCGGTGGACAATGTCATGCTGATGGATGTGGTTAACACTCTCCAGAATCTGATGTATACAGTGGCTAATAAAGCAGAAGGAAAAGGAAAGTCAATGCAATGTTAAACTACCTCACCTAAGACCACACGCTGTGAACCAAAAGCATAGGGTCACAAGTTCAGAAAATTACTGAGGCCTTGGACCTCATCTAGCTCAAGTCATTTTGTTTTTTAAAACTTCTCAAGCTGTATTTTATTTTGAAAAACATTTGTATCTACTTGTAAGGGGAAAATATGATGTTAAAGCAGAATAATCAGCATATCCTTCACCTCAAATATTTATCATTTCTTCCCGGTGAGAGCATTTAAATCCTCTTTTAGCTACTTGGAAATGCCTTATTGCTAACTAATATCACTTGCAGTGAAATAGAGTGCCAGAATTTTCTCTTTGGGTCTAAAACTTGACCAGCACCTTTCCTTTCCCCATTCATCCTTATCACAGCTACTGGTAACCACCATTCTAGTTTACTTCTATGAGATTCCACATGTTAGTGAAATGGTATTTGTCTTTCTGTGCTTGCTTATTTCACTTAACATAAAGTCCTCCAGATTAATCCATGTTGTTGTAAATGACAGAATTTCTTGTTTTTGTTTCGTTTTGTCTTGTTTGTTTTCTTTTTTAAGACTGAATAGTACACAGCACTTTTTAAATATCCATTCATCTGTTGATAGATGTAGAGGTTGTTTCCATGTCTTGGATACTGTGAATAATGCTGCAATGAATGTGGGAGTACAGACATCTCTCCAAAATACTGATTTCCATTCCTTTGGGTACTTACCCAGTAGTGAGATTGCTAGATCAGATGGTAATTCTATTTTTAGGTTTCTGAGGAACATCCATACCATTTTCCAAAAATGGCTGTACTAATTTACAATACCAACAATGTATAAGGGTTCCCTTTTTTCCACATCCCTACCAAGACTTATTTTTACAGAAGAGGGAAGTAAAGACCTGTTAAAGGGCAGAGGAGAGACTAGAACAGTGATCCACCATGGCTTCTTTTCACTGCAAAGGTCCAACATAACCCACTTTGTTTCCAAGACACTGGAAGGCATCCCAGATGTCTAAGAAAAGTGAGGCCACCCACTCCCTTTTTTATTTCTCTTTCTCCATATAGTAACTTTTTCTTGGAGAAAAAGCTTATGGCAACAACTTAGGAAGGAGGGTCTAACTAAGCAATCTAAGTTGATTTGGGGATGGGTGTACACTTTCATTTATTTAAACATATCCTGAGTGACTGCATCAGGTTGTGCTTGTTGCCACACAGGATGTAAAGATGAATAAGGCATAGTGGCCACCCTGAAGTTTATCATTAGAGAAGATAGAACAAACACATAAATTCTTTTCAGAAACAATATACCTAATGGATTCTAAATGGTACCAGAAGAGCATTACTGCACAGAAAAAGACAACCTAATCTAGAGTTGCATTCAGCTGCTGATTCATTTTTTTAAATTATCTTACATTAGTTATGCAGAGGGGGATTTCATTGTTACATTTCACACATTTACAATATATTCCAATCAATCTCACCTCCTCCATCACTCTTCCTTCCCTGTTTCCCAAAACTGTTTCATTGTTGTTTTCATAGATGCAAACAATCTATTTCAACCATATTCATTCTTTTGTCCTCCTTTTTAGCCCAACCCACTCTCGCTAGTACTTGCCCCCTGACCAAGCCTATTTTCAGCTGCTGATTCTTAAAACAGGGTCCACCTTGAAAACACTCCTGCCATCCCTACAGTCAAACTCTGGCAGAAAGGGTGGACAATTTACAGCTGGGGAAGGGGAGTCTGCCCCCAAGGAACACTAGTTGTAAGGTCTGGAGACATGACATTTCTGGTCATCACACACTGGGGAATAGAGAGGATACTACTGGCACCTATTGATCAGGTATGGGCTCTAAGTGTCTACCATGCACAGGAGAAGCCCTCACAACAACAACAAACTAAGGGTCAGTAACTCTGATGTTGAAAGAACATCTGGTCTAGAGAATAGATGCTCAGTTATTAGTACTAGGTACCTAGTACATCACATTAGGAGTGTTAGGTAGGTCTGCAGTGTATCTAATCTAGGCCAAGTCTGGGTGGCTTGGACTTCTGATTCCTTTCTCTAGACTCTTGTGCAAAGGCTCCTACAAGAGCCAAGGAGTCTTATCAGAATCCTAGTTCAGGGTATCCCATAGCACAAAACCCAAGAACGGGCCAAAGGGACTTTAAGATTGAGCTGCAGAGGCGAGTCTCCACAGAAATGTATAATTAGAACAGAGCCCGGCTAGTAGGGAGAGCCTTCTGGCCAAAAATGGCAAAAGTGCGAAGTGTCCCAGCAGAGCCAGGCCAAGCCCACTGGTACAGTCCCTCCCCAGCACCGCCTCCCCTTCTCCCGGCCAAGCTCCCTGAGCTATCACTGCCTCCTTCTTCCTACAGACTGGTCCTCCCCTGCTGGCACTGGAATTCATCTCCCCACTTGAGAATTTTTCCTGAGGCTGAAGCATCTGAAGTTGATCAGCAAACATTGGCTACTCAGGGTTGAGAAATTCGTGAGCAAGCTATACTCCCCCACTCTCCAGAGGCAGCCTGAGCCACCGCATAAGCTAGATAAGCTGCAGGCAGGATGATCAAAACCAGGTTCTAAGGATATCACTCTCAGAAAGAAGAGGGACTAAGGAGGGGAGGGATGGTAGAGAAAGTCGAGGTGGGAAATGCAGGCTAAACAATCACCTGAGTGCTGTGGTAGGGTAGAATTCTGCTGTGTCATTTGAAGGAGCCACAAGGTTTTCTATGGATGGCTGACCTCTGAGGTATGAGGCTGGAGAATAGTCCCTAACCAGCAGAGTTCATGTTGAAGCTAGTCATGGTAGTCAAGGGACTATGTGACAAGAGGCTAAAAACTTCCAAAGAGGTTCCCCAGTTCCTACTCCTTCATGATAGAAACAATGCTCTCTCTCTCTGTTCACCCCAGGACTTCAGCTCAGTGGCTTGTACATACTAGGATTTGCAAGAGACATAGAGACAGCCCTTGGCCATGAAAGTACATAATAGTACAAGGGAAAGATACAATTTTGGGAGGTGACTTGGAATGGGCTTTGAAAGAAATTGATCTGTGGGTACTGAATTTTTTTAACTTCTAATATTGTCCACAGAATACAGCTCAGCACTACACAATCTGGTCCAGACAAGTGGTTGGCTCATCTTTCCCAAAGACTACTCAAATAAGACATAATGCTGGCCTCCTAAGGTGGCCAAGACACACTGCGATCCTAAATCAGAGCTGCACTGGAACAACAAAGCCTTCATCTCACCTGGCATCTGCTTCACTGTAGTATTCTCTAGCCACGATGTCTTCAAACAGCTCTCCACCTGTAACACTGCAACCAACAGCAGAAGTGGTCAGAGAGGCAAGGGTCCCTTGGCCAACCCCAGCATCCACCAGTAACAAAGTCATATTGTAAAACATTTTTTAAAGAGAAATCCCAAGTGTGCTTCACCTGAGAGCCCAGAACATGCTCAATCCTTCAGCAACATAGGCGCCTTGCAGTACATGCACAGGCTGTCCCTTCTTTCCAGACATTTGTTTCCACACCCTACAGATTAGCTAACAATCAAGCAATTATGAGATAGAAAAAAATATCCAACCTACCCTAAAAGTTAGTTTTGTTTGAGACCAATATGAACACTAACACTTAGCTGTCCAAGAAGGACAGACTCACTACTAACCATGAAGAATAACAAGACCAAAGACACAGAAACCCAACCCTGCCAATAGTGGAGAGGAGTTTCCAGGAGATAAAGACATACTCGTTAGATGTTAAAGAACAACCAAAGTGGAAGAGAGATCAAATGGAGCCCAGTTAAAAGCTACCCTCAATCTCTTAGAATTCTTCAGGTCATGCAAAGAGCTCTATTTTATTTCTCCACTAAGGACAACACACTACAAATCAAGAAAAAAGCATATGCACAAGTTGGACTGCAGAAGAGAAATGCAAATGCAATGGCATCCTGGGAGTGGAACTCTGGGGAGAAAACGAGGGGCTTTGGGCTGGCGACCTGCCCAATTTCCAGAAAAAGTTCAACCTTTACCCAAGCTTTCACCTTGAGCCAGCTGGAGGGAAATGCCCCCACGCCCTCAGAAAGTGGCACTTACAGGTCAAACACGAGGTAGTGAAACCCTTCTTCAGAAATACTGTCATGGAGGCGTACTGCAAGAGAGGAGATGGGACAGAGATTAACAGAGAGAAAACTGGGAAATCCTGTCCTCCTTAGCAACCCCACCCCATCTCCATCCTGTCAGCCGCACCAGGCACACTCCTGAAGCCACCACAGACAATATGCCTGACACCACCCCTCTCAAGTCACTATAGAAAGAGACATTCCAGCTCACATTCCATCTCAGGCAAGAACTAGAAGTTTCATGTCTAAGATGCAAATCAAGATGGAGAAAAAAAAGTATAGGAATCTTCCTAGAGGGGTTAGACCTAGAGAAGGTGGTCCTGGGACAACCACTGCAGTAAAACAGACTAAGAAATATCCAGCAATGCTGAAGCGAGGCATGAGAATGACAAGCTGGGAAAGCCCAGGGCTCCTTCTGAGGAGCATATGGGAACAGGAGGACGAAGGGAAGTGGAAAAAGGTAAACGGTAGAGCCCCGTAGGAAGGGATGAGGAGCAGGATAGTGAATGGTGAGCCCAAGAGGCCACATGCACATCTATACAAAGGTGATAAATGATTTTCAAGTGCTTAGTATACACCAGGCCTTGTGTTAGGTTCTTGACATACATTACGCATTCTATAAACATTTATTGAGCACTGCCATCTGCCAGACCCCAGGCTAGGTGATGGCATTTAGGAGGAACAGAGGGATGTAGTGCCTGCCTTCAAGGAGTTTATTTAGTTATTTTTAGTCAAGGAGTTTATTATACTGCTCTGTGATGAATGAGATTCCCATTCTACAGAAGAGGACAGTGGAGGCTTGGAGATTGAAGACCTCTTGCCAGGGCTGGGAAGGTGGCTCAGGGGTAGAGTGCTTGCCTTGCATGCATGAGGCCCTGGGTTCGATTCCTCAGCACCACATAAGCAAAAAGAAAAAAGCCAGAAGTGGTGCTGTGGCTCAAGTGGTAGAGCGCTAGCCTTGAATTGAAGAGCTGAGGGACAGCGCCCAGGCCCAAAGTTCAGGCCCCACGACTGACAAAAAGAAAAAAGAAAAAATATCTCTTGCCCAAAGAGTGGTAGGTCAAGAAAAGAATTCAGGCTTCTCTAACTCCAAAGGCTGGTCTGTTCCACTGAATCCTATAAAAAATGAAGAGCAGCTCACATACTAGGTAGCAAGGCAACGGAGCCCAGGAGAGATTGATCACAAATGTACCTATGACAGCATCATGGATGGGTCCAGGAAGGCAGAGGCTGGAGAAGGCTGTAGGGTAATTCACCAAGTGCAAGGAAGGCTGGCAAGCAGAATCCCTTCCCAATTTTTCCTCCAAAGCTCTCGGGCAAAAGACCAACCTAATGTCTTCTGAGGTCTCCTCTTCAAGCCATTTCTGGGTTAGATGCCAATCCCTGAGCATCATTGTAATGCAAACACAACTTGCTTTGGCTGCCTGTTCCAGTGTTCCTGTCCCTCCCCTAACTGAACTGTCCTGATGAAGAACCTCTATTCCAAAGGGCTCCCCTCTGTTTGACCTTTGCTCCAGTCCTCATCAGTACAGGAGCATCTCGGGGAGCACTTCAGGAATGGCCTGACACCAAACCAACTGGTAAAGTATTCAGCTACAAAGAAATCACAGTATCTCTTCCTTGGTTGCTTCCTGTTCTAGTGCCAGAGCATTTCCTAAGAGCTAAGGTACTTCTCTATATCCCTGCCACACTGCAGCAGCAAGATCAGCGAGAATGCAAAATACATGATGCAGGGGCCCAAGGCAATGAGCCATCACCACAGTCCCCTTGTTCTCCTCAAGTGACAAATGAGGACTTGAGAGGGCTGCCAGGACTGGACCCAAGGCTTAAGGACCATCTACACATCATATTGCCTACCTGATTTGATCCCATCTGGTTTTTCAATCCTACTCCTCAGCCTACAAATGACAGGAAGGGCTTTTAGGATAGAAGGAAGGAGCTACAGCCAGATCCCTGCTGCTCGCCTGCCCCCCTAGGCTGGCATGCTCAATGAGCTCCCCAAAGCCCTGCTACCTCCCTCTTCACTCAGTTTCTCTGGTCTCAGTGGGTGCCTCATGCTGAGTCCTGCTGTAGCTGCTCCCTTACTTCCAAAAGGACTTTCCATTTAATTAAAAATTTGCTATTAAAAAGCATTAAAGTGTGTAATACAAATAATCCCCTAGAAATTGGCTGTCCCAGAAGCCAGACCAGCTTCATTAGAGAGCTGACTAACAGCAGCAGGATGGTGATCCAACAGGATATCAGGAGGCTGCTAACAGCTACTCCCAGGGGAGCCCAGGTGCCCTACCTTGCCAGGCTTGGCCTTGAGCCTTGCCTCACATGGACATCCCTTTCACTAGGTTTGCCCCAGCAGCACTGCAGGCTTGAGAACAGGGCCAGAGGCGCAGATACTCAGGCCTCTGCCCAGACACAGAATCACTGGCGCTTGCCCTTCTTCAGGAAGGCCACACACAGAGCCCAGGTGGGAGAGGATTAGAAGAGCAGCAAAGTAAGACTAATCCTTCCAGGCCACCCAGCCCCGATGCCTCTGACACATGCCCAGAGCAAGGCGCCCAACATGCCAAGACAAGGGGGGAGGGGTATTGAATAAGAATGCTAGCTTTTCATTCCAATTTATAAATTTACAGGGTACTAAGGACAAGAAGATAAATCTGACTGTGCCTTCTAAGCACCAATAGGTAGATTCTTGATGACAATTATCAAAATTGTAATTACTAAAATTTATTTGAGCTGTTGCTATATGCCAAGCATTGCACCACACGCATTATTTTATTGGATACTAGTTACTTAAGCTGCTCCAATGTGGAGTCTTGTAGACACAGGTGCCCATGGCTCACAAGTGCGATCCCAGCTACTTAGAAGGCTAAAACGTGAAAGATCACTGTTCAAGGATAACCTGGACAGAAGAGTCTGCAAGATCCCATCTTCAACTAATCAGCAAAACGCTAGGTTGGAAGTAGGACTCAAGGGGTAGAACATCAGCCGTGAGCAAGCAAGCTGAGTGAGTATAAGATCCCTGACTCCAAAGCCTAGTTCCAGCAAAAGAAAAAACAAGGGGCGGGGGGTGGCTGAAAAGTTTGACTTAGCCAGCCTAGCAAATGTGAGGTCTGACTTCAAACTACCAAAGAAGAGAGAGAAACAAAGTCCAATTTATACTAAGCAGCATAACTAGAACTTGAAGAGAAACTAACATCAATATTCTTCTATCATAAAATGACTAGGGAATGACTATCTATCCACTAAGCAACCAGAGTTCACTCTGATTGGCTTGACGGCGTCCATTAGGGCAACTTCACTGGAGTGGGCTGTTTATATGGCTGTAAAGAAGAGGAGTTTGGCTCTGCCACCAAGAAGCTTCAAGGCTTGAAGCTAGTACTGAAGTCAGGCGTTAAACAGCAATTGCACAAATATGCAACTAAGCACAACTATATCACAAGCTATAAAGTAGAAGTAAAGGTTGCTACAGAAGTGTGGAATAAAATAATCTGAATCTTCCCTCAGCCCATTCCATAGTAATGACAAGGCAGGGAGGCCTGGACCAAGTCCATAGAAAAGATGGTCTAGGAAAAGAAATATAAAATACTACTGCAATTCAGAATAAACCTTATTACTACTCTTTTAAAATCAGTGGAAGCTGGGTGCCAGTAGCTCACACCTGTAATCCTAGTTACTCAGGAGGCTGAGATCTGAGGATCATGGTTCAAAGCCAGCCCAGGCAGGAAAGTCCTAAGACTCTTATTCCCAATAAACCACTCAGAAAACCAGAAGTGGTACTGTGGCGCAAGTGGTAGAGCACTTGCCTTGAGCTGAAGAGCTGAGGGACAGTGCCCAGGCCCAGAGTTCAAGCTCCGAGACCGACAAGAAAAAAAAAAAATCAGTGGAAAAAAGGACAGGCTAAAAACACCTAAATACTTTTTTTCTTGATATTTCACACCTTCAGGCCTAAGAAGTCCACAGTATAAATGTCGTGGCTATTTCCAATTCTTTAAAAACCCCAACAGTGCTGGAGGCATAGCTTGAGTGGTACAGTGTTTCCCCAGCGCATTATGAGACCCTAGGTTTAAGCCACAGTACTCCACAAAAACAACAACAAAAACCCACTCAACAGTCTGCCCTCTAACAGATCTTTCTAAAACACAAAAAAAAAAAACACTGAGAAAGTGTCCCCAATAAAAAACTGTCCACAGCACTGAAACAGTGGGAAAGAGGCCTGTTGCTAAAAGGGCTTATTGAGGTGGACTGGCCTAATCCCCAAGGGCCAGCTGTGGCAGAACTCCTCACCTAGAGGCAAGGATTTGGGAAAAGCTAGGTCATGATTCAGTGTTTCATTTTTCTTAGCAATTGGTTTTGCTACATTTACTGTTAGCTGAATGGGCCCTGGGCCCAAGGTAGATGGTAGTCTGTGTTGAATAATTTATGAACTGAGTTCAGGCTGGGGGTTTAGTGTTATAGACTCTCCATTTTCATTTTCATCATTTTCATTTCCTAGACTCCTTTGCTTGCTGAACCCTTGCAGCTCCAGGAAGGGACTCAGGTGACAACAGAGACAGGCACACATGGTTAAGTCTCTTGCTAAAGGTCACAACTTTTAACTACAAAATCCCAAATCCAACCCAGTGAGCATAACCGCAAAGCCGCAAACCTGGGCTTCTCCAGTACCAACCACAAACTAGTGGCATTAACATCACCTGGAGACTGTGAGACATGAAGAATCTCAGCCCTTCCCCCAGACCTACTGAATCAGGATTTGTGTTTTGATACTATCCCAGTCTGATTCATCAGCACATAAAAGTTCAAGAAGTGCTGCTTTAAACCACAACGCTAGACTGTGATCGAAACTGCTGGGGCAGCTCAGCATGGAGGAAGACAGAGTCTATTCATTAGAGGAATTTAGAGCAGAGAGCAAGCAGATCATAGGTAGAAAGTACTCCATTCAGACTTCAGACTACCAGCTCTACACAGCTCCTCCACTCCATGCCTCTCCTCACCACTGGCCACTATCCCAGGGATGTTTGACTTCAACAGTGTACCTTACACCTAACAGACTGTTTGTTTGTTTTTAATTAAAATAATTTCTTTACAACAGTTTTGGGTTTGCAGCAAAATTGCACAGAAGGGACAGAGACTTTCCATATACTACCCTCCCCACACATGCATGCCTGCCCTACAATCAACATCCCACACCACAGTGGTACATCTTTTATTATCAATAAGCCTACACTGACACATCATTACCCAAAGTCCATGGTTTACATTAGGGTTCACTCTTCCAGTAGGATCTTAATTCTGCACAGAATAGATACTAGAGATAGAACTAGGGGGTGCCTTAAACCTTGTACCAAATATCCCTTATGAATTCAAGAGGCTCCGAGTCTGACAGCAGCCTGAGACTGATGATCTGTACTCTGCTCTTAGCTTCCTCATCTATAAACCATTCTGGGGCTAGACTGCCTATTTCCCTTTGGGATAGAGTTTAAAAGGTCAGAGTCAAAAGGGCCACAGCTTTGAAAGACACAGCCATGGAGAAGGGGAAGAATATCAAATTAGGAGCACAAAACCTCATCCAAGGCAACTCCTGTGTCCTGGACTCCACAGCTTGGCCACAGCTTCAAGAGTCTTGATTTCCACCAGAAGCCAGCTTGTGCTCCCAGAACACAGTCCTGACTTACCCATCCCTTTGCCTGCCCTAGACTACAGAATTGGTCCACAGACCAAGTTTGCTTAGTACCTGGGAGCAGACATGAAACAGAAACACAGTTCTGATGCTGACAAACTGATCGTGCCATGTCTGTTATTCTCAGGACCTGCTGCCTAACTAATAGCACAGAGACTTGTCTATATTCTGAGCTGGAAGCAAGTGGTAAAAGGAAAGACCTAGCAAACTGAGTAAATCTAAGAGGTCACAAAGTATTTGCTTAGCTCTAGAAAGACATAAAAAGATGGCTAAGATACCTTTCTGCTAGCATTTCACTTTTGCCCTTCCCATTCGTTTCTCAATTATGATTATTATACCCTGACCCTTCTGTGGTCAACCTTCCCCATTACTCATGTGATGCAGAGGTAGGTCAGACTCTATTATCAACCCCGACTCTACCCCTTAGATCTCCTTAGAAGGACAATGCATAACTGTTGTATGAGTTGGCTACAAGAGGCACAAAGGAAAGGAAGTTATTGTCCTTGGACTTGAGAGCTGGGACTGGAACACCAAAAAGCTTCTAAGCCGGTGTGTGGTTTTAGAGCCAAACCATCTGGTTCGAAAAGCTGAGAAACAGAGTTTTTAAAAAATAATAAAATTTTTGGCAGTTTCAAAGCTTGAACTCAAGGCCTCATGCTCACTAGACTTGCTTGCTCATTTAGAGTTCTACTACTTCAGCTATGCCTCCAGATCAGATTTTTACTAGTTAATTGGAGAGGTAGTCTCATGGACTTTTTTGCCTGATCTAGCCTTGAACCTTAATACTGCAAATCTCAGCCTCCTCAGTAGCTAGGATTATAGATGCATATGAGCATCCAGCTCTGAAATCTCATTTTTAAATACTGGCAAATAATTTAAAAAAATTTTTTTAGACCACTGTGCCAGCCAAACAAAATACATCTGAATTTGTTACTAATGTTCTAGGTGTTTTTCTTTACTGGCCTTCTCCTACCTAAGGTAAGTTCTTAGGTGAAAGGTCTAAACATCAGAAATCACCAGGAACTCTAGCAGCTTTAAGACCAGGACTTGCAGACTTGGAGGTGCTGGCTCCATGGAACACACTGCACTGTGTAGAGCCAAGCACTGGCTATGCCAATCTGCTTCGGGTGTAATCCAAGCTGCTGATTGCAATCTATAAAGCCCTGCATGGTTGGAGTTCTGGTTACCTCAGTGTTGCTCCCCTCCCTGTGGGCTAGAATACAACCTTAGCTCTTCCACCGAAGAGCTCACACTGAGCCTTCTGAGACCTGGGGAGCCAGAGGCTGGGAAGCTCCGGGGGCAGCATCAAGCTTCAGCAAGTTGCCTCACAGTCCTGGCCACCAACTGAGCAGAACAGGCGGCCTCCGGGGCACTGTGGGAGCCCTGATATTTAGGCCATGCCTGAGGAGCACAGAACACGTGTTGTCTTTTGTGATGACTCAGGGCTTTCAGGAAAACCTAGGAGATGGTCCCTGCTCTGCCTCAAGTCAACACTGGGGGTTCTGCTCAAACACTGCAGCCAGCCCAGTTTCTGTCCCTTCTGTAAGGAGCACCAAATCAGGGCCAACACTTTTGGCGAAGACTATTTCAGCTGAACAATGTAAAACTGAGCCAGAGTGGGTTGTGGCAGGCAAACCTCCTCAGGCTTTAGAACAACTAACAATGTGCTCTTGTCTCCCCAGTCAGAGTGGGAGTGGGGAGAAATCCTCTAGATTTGTTTCTTCTTCCCTATCCAAGCAGCTCCTGCTATCCCTTCCCCAGAGAAGCCAGGCAGGCAGCTTGCTTTCCTGGCTCTGGAGAACACAAACAGGAGCACCATGGAAACCCCCAGAGTGTTCAGGACACTGCAACAGGGACAAAACTCTTTCAGGTCGAAAAACAAAATCCTGAGCCTCTCATGAAGGCTGTGGATGGCCCCTGGTGAGGGACACTGGTAGGCTGGATGCCCAGAACCTCATACACTGAGGGTCCTGGATGTCAGGCTGAAGACGGAAGGAGAAAGGGAAGTAGGGAGTCTGAATTCTATTCAAATGCCTCACATCCCTGCCCTGACATAGCACTGCAGCAGTGGGCTTATTCAGGTTTGTAAATAAGAAAATTCTACAGTTCTGCAACATAGCTACTATACTGCAAAACAAGAAATCAGGTGAAGGCTTATGAACTGAGGTAACTTCACATATAAAAGCTGCCTTCCACAAAATAACAACAGAATACACTATGCAGGGCACTTACCAATGTTTGGATGTTTCAGAAGTCGGCATATCCGGGCCTCACGCTCTAATTTCTGGTGATCTAGAAGTAAACAGAAAAAAAGAAAAGTCATCAACTATCCATTTTATCTGTGATCACATGGATATTCATATTCTTTCAGTTCTTAAGCACAAACTATGCACTTTGGGCAATTTTGGCTAAAGTAATTCAGCAAATCACTAGAATTCTGAAAACAGTTATTTTTTATTTATTTATTTTTTTGCCAGTCATGGGGCCTGAGCTCTGGGCCTGGGTGCTGTCCTTCAGCTCTTCAGCTCAAGGCTAGCACTCTACCACTTGAGCCATAGCTCCACTTCTGGCTTTTTCTGTTTATGTGGTGCTGAGGAATCGAACCAGGGCCTCATGCATGCAAGGCAAGCACTCTACCACTGAGCCACCTTCCCAGCTCCTGGAAACAATTATTATGAACACTTTTCCGACACAAGGAAATAACTTGAGGACATACACACCAAGTCAATAAGTGGTAGACCCAAATTCAAATCCATGACTTCAGCTCAAACTCTGGTGCACTATCTCCTCTATCAGTGCTTTAATAGGATCAGAGTGCTGAAAACCATTTTCCTTTTCTTTTTCTTTTCTTTTTTTGGGCCGGTATTGGGACTTGAAAAGTAAAGGACCATGACACTGTAATCACTTAGCTTTTCACTCAAGGCTGACATGCAAGTCACAGCTGCATTTCCAGAGTTTCACTTGTTAACTGGAGATAAGAGTCTCATGGACTTTTCTGCATGGGTTGGCTTCAAACCACCACCTTCAAATCTCAACCTTCTGAGTAGTTAGTTACAAGTGTGAGCTACTGCCACCTGGCTAAGCACCTCTTTCTTATTAGAAGCACTAACTTATCTGAAAGGGATACATTCTAAAACCCCCTTTGCATACTTGAAACTCCAGCTAATATCCAACCCTATATAAAAGCAGTGTGAGGGGCTGGGAAGGTGGCTCAGTGGTAGAGCGCTCGCCTTACATGCTTAAGGCCCTGGGTTCAATTCCTCAGCACCACATAAGCAGGAAAAAAATGGCCGCAAGTGGTGCTGTGGCTCAAGTGGTAGAGTGCTAGCCTTGAGCTGAAGAGCTTAGGGACAGCACCCAGGCCAAGAGTTCAGGCCCCACAACTGGACTCAAAAAAAAAAAGCATTGTGATACTGTGAGCCAATCAATTTGACAAACAAGAAGGCTACTGAGTGACTAATAGACAGGTAGGTAGCTTACACAGCATGGATACATTAGATACAGCAACAGTTTACATCCTGGGTGGGACGAAGCAGGAGGTTGAAAAATTTCATCATGTTACTTAGCATACAATTTGTAACTTCAGTAACTTAGTATTGCTTATTTCTAGACTTCCTGAAGTATGGGTTGTGGCTGACACAGGTAACTGAAATTCTGGGAAGCAAAATTGAGAATAAAGGGGATTAGCGCAATAGCTAAGTTGTATTGAGCTTTGTATATGACCAGGCACTATGCTAGGAGTTCTGCATCTATTCTCTTACATAGTCCTCTTGGCAACCCTAATATATAATGATGCTGACAATAAAGATCATCAAGATAATGATAACTTGAAATACAGTTTAACATCTACTGAAGATTCACTTCTATACCACATAGCCATTGTCTCTTGTCATTGGCCCTTCTATGACATCTATTTTACAGAAAGAGAATCCAGGCTACAAATCCTGCTTCTCCCTAGCAGTATCCTAACCAGTCACTGCTGTGAGTTCTGACTTCTTTGCACTCAGACCCTAGGGTTACTGTTTGAAGACATGACTAGAAACTGAAGAGTCTTCATATCCAAGTGAGCTGCAGAGGTCAATCCCTTCCACAGGAAGGCAGAGCTCTAGGAATTAAGAGAAAATGCTGCTCAGAGAGAGTAGGACCTATTCTGCCTTTCTAACTCCACCTGCTGGAATACTGCCAAAGTCACATTTTCATACAGCTTTCCCTGCTCCTCTCGGCAGAGGGTGGTTTCTTCCTTCTTTGACCATGACCTCCTCCCATCGCCCACCACTGGGCTTTGCCCATCATATATCACAACAGCTACCTTTCAGTCACAAGTTCTTTCAGTGTGGAGACTTTCTAAGTTAGTACTTCCTAGAGTTCTTTCCATCAACAGGGGCTCAGTAAGTGCTTAACAAGAGCAACAGTAGCAGTAAGAACTACTACTTACTAGGCATTTACAAGTCAGGCAGAAGGCAAGGATTACTGTAATTTATTCTTACAGAAGCTCTGTGAAGTCTGTGAAGAAGAGATCTGATTAGCTGTATTACTCTACAAATAAGGAAAATGAGGCTTAACTGCTGATGGTAACATAGATAGGAAGTGGATGCAGATGTTTGGGGCCTGGTACCCTTTCTCCAGCACTGTGCCATGATGTCCAAATTAAGGAAAGTGAGAGTGAAGCCTTGAGATTTAGCAGAACAAGAGTCTAGTTGCAACCCAACACTTCTCTTGGGAGGGTTTTCTCTCCACCCTGCCTCTACCCAAAACATTGAAGAGCTCTAAAATCTACTATGACTCTTGCAATGATCCTACAAGGTAAGTGCTGCAATTGCCCCATTTTACAGATGATGAAACAGGCCTAGGGAAGACAACTTGTCAAGGTTCAATAGCAGGAAAGGCACGGCCCTGGAATTCCAACCTCAACTTGTCAGTCTGAGATAATGTACGGATTATACACGACAAGGAATTCACACTTAAAAGTTTCACTAACTATCCCCAGCTTTGTCCCAAACTTTTCCTCTAGCAATAGCAATGGGAGGAGGTGAGAACAGGCAGAGATTAGTTCCTGCTGCCCAGCTAATCCATCCCAGCTGCCCAAAGATCTGGGTCAGACTTTGCTTCCCTTTCTTAGGTTCAGCATGACCACTGACCAGGATGTAGCTAGGAGAACTACAGGTAAGTTCCAACTCTCCGTAAGCTAAGACATAAAGCTTGGTGGCATAAGGGAAGGAGTTTGCTTCTTCCAGGTCTGTCCATATGTCAGGGCAACCTTACTTCCCTCCCAGTCCTGGACTTGGTAAAGAGCCCCCAAGCCATAGATCCATCTCTGATCACATAGATCCTTGTCTTTGACCACTCACCTCACCACCCTTGACCTACAATTCTTGGGCTTGGTTGCCAGGCAGGTGTGGGAGAACAGCATCTTGCAATGCGGAGGTGGCAGCTGAGGGAAGGCCCAGAAGATTAATGTTTATCTCCTCTCTTAAGTCTCTTATTGGCTAATGGTTACAGCCCTACAACAGCAGTAGCACTAAAAATAAGGAAGGGTGCTCTGGCTTTACCCGTGACTCAGAGTGGAGAGGAAACACAGATTCAGCTCCCAGCCCTGAGAGGAGCTACTCAGGATCTAGAGTGTTCATGTCAACCACTTAGTTCAAGCCCAACTCTAAGCAGTCAAGTCCTACAGTCTAAGTAACACCCACATCTCTCAACTCCAGGACTGAGCTTGGTTCTCCCTCTGATTCTAGCCATACATCGACTTTGGGGTCAGACATCCCTGGACTGAGTCCAGAACTGCCACCTCCCGCAAGCTATTAAACACACCTGATTCTTATTCATACCTTCATAAAACTATTGAGACCAACCATGTGACAGGCATTGTTCTACATACTGGGAAACAGCAGCGAACAAAACGGTCAAAAATCCCTATTCGTGGAGCTTACATTTTAGGAGAGGGGGAGATAGACAGTAAGAAATTCAATGGCATGTCAGATATCACAGCAAGCACTGTTCAATACAATAAAGCAGAGAAAGGAGAAAGTGTAAGTTAAAAAATAAACTGGTGGAGCTAGGAAGGTGGCTCAGTGGTAGAGCGCTTGCCTTGCATGCCTGAGGCCCTTGAGTTCCATTCCTCAGCACCACATAAGCAAAAAGAAAAAAGCCAGAAGTGGCGCTGTGGCTGAAGTGGTAGAGCGCTAGCCTTGAGCTGAAGAGCTGAGGGACAGCACCCAGGCCCAGAGTTCAGGCCCCAGGACCGGACCCAAAATAAATAAATAAAATAAAATGGTCAAGGGCAGCTGCAGTAAGAAGGTATCATTTGATTAGGACCTCAAGAAGGCAAGTGAGCAGTGCAAGTGTTATCTTGGGAAGCAGTTTCCTACTTCTGAACAAAGGTAGAAATTCCTGAGATTTAAATGAGGTAAAGTGGGTAGATTACTTAGCATAATGCCTCTATATAACATCTTGCATATAAAAGAACCCTTTGCAAGGGCCCAGTGATAACAAGGACAAAATCTTCCAGGTTGGACGTAAGGCCATAGCTACCATCAGAGATAATGAGAGAACAGGACCCATTCTCCCCTCTGCTTGGGCAAACAAGTAGCCTGAAACATATCAACTAAGCCTTCTGATCTGTTCTTGGGACTTCCCATAAGGTCCTCTGTCACCATCCTGGGATGAGACCTAGTCGTGTTTTTAGCCTAAACGCCAGCAACAGGGCCTCCTCAGAGAAAGGACTGCCTCAGGAGTACTGCTGCCCACGGGTCCCTCCCCTTCCTTGGCCTCACTAGCAGTGGCGCCTTGCCATCCTGAAACTCTCTGCTCAATGAGCCATGTGGTTTCTGCCTACCACACTCTCCCAGACTCTTTTTGCCACACAATGCACAGCCCAGCCATCACTCCAGCTCTCCGACTACCAGTTCTCCAACTATTGTGTCCTGTCTTTTTCTCCCAAACCTATTGTCTTGTAATCAGGACAGGACTGGCCATGAGTGATCAAAAAGAGAGTGCTCCATCCCAGCAGAAACAAGTAGTGACTTTCTCGTGTGTGTGACAGACAGTATTGGGTTTTGAATTTAGGGTCCCATGGTTACATTCTGCCACTTCAGCTATACTCAAGGCCCTTTTTGCTTAGTTATTATTTCAGGTAGGGTCTCACATTTGCCCTAGATGGCAATCCTCTAACCTATACTCTCCCCTGTAGCAGAGGACTCAGGTGCTCACTATCATGCAAGTCTTATTGATTGAGAAGTGCTGTCTTACTTATTTTGTCTGGCTGGCCTTGAACCATAATCTGCCTGGTCTCT